TTTTCAGAGAGGGAAGATTTTTTGAATTCCCTTCAACCGAGTATCAGTAGTGCGCTTTAAATTTCTGAATTCGGACTTTTTTCAAAGAGAAAAGTCTAAATGTCAGATATATCAATGATAGTCCTCAGCTGGCCCAGCTTTTTTAAAGATAAAAAGTTTAAAGTTAGAAAGTTTAAAGTTGGAAAAAGAAAAAAAAGAGAGAATTTTCTTCTAAGTTCTCAAGTCTGACTTATGCAGTGTCTGGAGGAGAATTTCCTCTCACTGAATCTGTCCAGACCTCAAACCAGACTGAGAAAACTTTGTGAAGTAGTAAACACTTTGAAGGTGCTGCCCTGACTTGAAGGAGGATGGAATACTTTTCTATTGCTTAAAAGACAAGTCTGCAGAATGAATTCGACACATTTTTTCCAAAACACTTCAGTAGAAACAGGATTAGGTATCACATAAACATTGGGACACCTACCATTGGTCAAACCACAGGATCATTAGCTGAGGCCACTTATTTTCACACAAAAGGCCTTAAGACAGAGAAAAGAGATAAAGAAAGAAGCTCAGTAGTTTCTGCCTTGGGGTTATTGTGCAGCTCTTCTCATATCACATCCTTTCCCAATGCATCTTACTCAGTATCTCTAAAATGAGCTGATCATTTACAACCACTTCTCTAGCTGGCTGTGGGTGCATCACTAACCATGGTTCCATGACGTGCTGGGTAGCTTCAGCCACCACAGAGGAATCTTGATGGTTCCCTTGTCTACATTTGCAAGGGGGAAACCAAGAGCTACAGGAACATCAGTGCAGAAAAAGCTGTTTAGATGGTGAAAGCAGCTCAGAGCAGCACTACTACACTGGAAGAGCAGCAGTACATGAAGGTCAGGAGGCTCCTGCCCGTGTTTTTCCAGGCTCCAGTATAGCTCTTCTCAAAAACAGAATCATTGTCCATTTGCAAAAATAACCTTCCAGCTGTTCTGGTCCCACCAGAAGTTGAGTACTCCACTGCAAATTCTGCTTCTTGGCGTTCCAGGAGAAGGCACTGCTACATCAATATGTGGGCCAGTACCTCACTGGACTCTACTTGAGGTTTGCATGTCAACCTTCTTGCAACCACCTGCTCTTGCTCTCAGCACTACACAGTGAATGACATGCAAGCGGATGCTTTGCCTGAAGCTTGGGCAAATGCAGAGATCAAGCTAAAAGGACTGAAACTAGCATGATGTTGGCCTCCCTCTGAGCCTGAGTCCCCACCACCCAACAATTTGCACTAGTGCAAAGAAGCTGCCATACACATCCAAATCCATACTGCAGGGGTGGCAATGCCCACGCAAGAATGGCAATGGTAAAGCAAGCTTTTGGGACACCAGTGGCCACAGGGATCTTCACCTTTTTACCTCAGGTTACATAGGACACTGTCCTATTTGGTCTCAGGATGGTTTTCTGCCAGGTCATGGTACTAAGAGGCAGTTCAACTGGGTAACAAAATCTCAGTGCTGAGCAGGGCAAGGTATATAACCTTGTCTGTAGTTTCTCACACTCCACAGTTCCATGCACAAGCTGGTCAGTGAGCTGCAAACCAAATACTGGCAACGGGCCCATAGGGTCAAGGAGCAGGTGTGAAGCCACCATCTGATGCTATAAACAAAGGAGCTGTAAAAGTGCAGAGCAGTTGAGTTGAGATCTGTAAATCTTATTCTCGAAGTCTGAAAGAAAAGAAGCTTGGATCACAATCTATCACACTTATCTTTAAAGGACTAGGCTACTCTCTTTTGCAACAGAAGACTTGCACAGAGGCACCAAATGTTCAAAGCCTGCAACACAGAGGTAATGTCTTTCTTCCTTTACTGTTTTAAATCACCTAGGACACTGCCTATTGCTGTAGCTGTGACAAAGCATGTGGAATCAGACTGGTTTTTTAGCACACAGGAACAGATCACATTCTAAGAGGCTTAATTTTTTGAGACATCAGCAATCATTCCTTATGCCTTTGCTGACCACAATCCATATTGCTATAGTTGATATTAGAGACTGACAGACAAAATCCTGCTATGTAATAACAACAAAAAAAGATGCAATTGGTAAGAACCAGAAACAAACTTGGGATGCATTTAGGTGCTAGAACAGATACAAATATATTGATTTTTAATATATGCCAGTCAGACTTACAGTTATATACAAATATAACAATATTTATTATTAAATAAGAAAAACAAACAAATGAAAAAGAAACAAGAGGACCTGGGTTGTATAAAATAAGCTTCAGTGAGCGTTGTCTTTGCTTCCTAAACACTCTCATTTTCACATTAACATCTTCTATCTGTTTGGGATCTGACCTCAGCAGCAAGGGCAGATGCATTCATCTTCTTGTCCATGGATGTTCCCATATAAGGTGATCTCTCTTTGCCTGTGGAGCACGACTTCGATTTGCTCAGGTTTCGTTCCACTCTGATTTGCTGGCCTCTATGCTCGAGCTCTTGCAGTTTTACAAGGCAGTCATCCACACAGCTGTAGCTATAAAGGGAGGAGAAAGACAGGAGAGAGTAATGAAGATGTGCATGCAGATCTAAATTGGTCTGGATAGTTTATTTTGCTCCATTGTTTTTCTTCTGCTCATTGCCTCTGCATGGCACCTTTTCAATAAGCAATTTCTATACGCTCTTCCCAAGCAGTATAAAGCATAAACCCTATCCAGGGAATTGAATAGGATGACAGGGATGCACTGTTCTAACAACTCTCTAGTCATCAGGAAACCTAGCTTGAAACTCTGTATGACTCTTCATGCACACTAACTTGAAAATTTGGAAAATGCCCATGGAATTATGCAACAGATGTATATAAACAGTGGCCTTCAATTCAGTAAGATTTGATTCAGATAGCACATCAGAATTCTCAACTGCCTCCTCTGACATTTACCCAAGGCTGAACTAAAAGCTATGATATCTTTTATGTCTATGAAGATTCTGTCATACAGAAGTCAAGACATTATAGAATAAGCTATTATACTGGTTTTTGTTTGTTTGGTTGGTTGGTTTTGTTTGTTTTTTTTTTAAGAAATAAGTTTCAGAAAATTCATGCACTATTACTGAGGGCAAATATCAAGTAGTGTGTAGGTAACCTGGGGTAGCAGTCTGGCTACAATGGGCTGCATGGATAAATAGCACAAAACCACTGGAAGAAGGGATCATGAAAAGATACCACAGGATCCCCCATGTTTTCCCTGACATGAGAAGTCCCAAGGAACTCTGATGTATAATTTTGCTCTGGTATTGAATCATAAGTACATTCAAACAGGCCAGCATGCTGGAGCTCACCCTGACTTCTCATCAGAGAGGTCTTGTTTCCCTCTCAGACTCAGAACGATCCAAGTTCCTGGGTTTTCATCATGACAGAGTGATTCAATCTTGGCATCTTTTCTTGTCTGATCTTGGGGTTTTCTAATTTTCAAGCATCCTTTCTCTTCCTTGTCATCTCTATACCATTAAGGAGACATGAAAAGCAGGGGACAGTCCTTTGTTTCTTGGAAGGTGTGAGGAGTGAAAGAGAAGGTCAGAGCAGCACCTCCTGGCCATATCCAGCCCAGATCCACACCCTCTCATCTCAGCACTGTGAGCACAGTCCGTTCTCTCCCTGTATTGAGGACTGAGGACGTGCATCCATGTTCGCAGAAACACTCTGTTTCTCCAGAATTAAGGAAGTAGTGCCCAGGATTGATGACACCTACCACTTCCTATTACCCATCAGTGTCACCTACAGGGAGCAGAACTCATCCCCAGTGCCTCTCCAGAAAATACCATTTTCATTTGCTCCCCCTGTGCATTCTATATGCTCAAAATACTAATCAGAAGAAAAGCGTAATTGATACCAGGAAAGCATGTCAAAGGAAAGTGGATCTCTTCTGGGAACTTGTAGGTAGTACGATTCCTAAAGGTCAGTGTGCAGACAGAAAGCACAAAGGAAACACGATCTGGTTTTTAAAGTTCAAATCCAGGAGTCAGGAGACTTGGATTATGTTCCTGGCTCCATCGCAGCTTTCATGTACAATCAAGAGCAGCTCATCCATCCCCTTTGTGACTTTGTTCAGCCAGTGAAAAGCAAGGACAGACATGTGATGTCACTTCTCAGGCTTTTAGAAAAAAAATGGGTAAATTAGTATTTTATGAGATATTTCCTATTCCTGGGAAAGAAGAGGGGAACTAATCTAAGATGGAAACATTGTTTAGAATTGCAAAGTGTTACATTTACGATTGCTTCTTACCGAATAAACAACATGTGCATTTCAATTTAACAGCACCAATGTAATGACTCACTGCGTGTTTTACTCCATCACACGGGAACTCACGTGTGTTTCTAAGACAATCCACAAAGCTAACTAAGGAGCAGAGGCTCCAAAATCCAAAACCTATATATAAGCCCTATTGCCGCCGTTCCTTGCTTCGAGAGCGTTGTTCTGTGAACGCCCCGCACAGAACATTGCGTGTACACTGCGGGGGCACAGCGACCTCCCCCAGGCTCACAGTGGGAGTGGGATGCGAAACCCAGGGCAGGCTGCGATGCTTTTAGGGCCGCTTCGGGCTGCCCTCCCATGCAGCATGATGTGAAGAAGGGAGAGGGACCCGGTCCCCACAACCCGAACGGCTCTGTTCTGTCCCAGCTCCTCCGCAGAGGTCAGAACTCCATGCGCCTCTCTGCGCATGCGCGCGCCTCTCCAGCTGAAGCCCGCGTGGCACGTCCGGAAGTGACGTCATCGCCGGGCCTGGCAACCGTTACCAGGGTAACGTGGAGGCGCGAGCCGGGGGTGAAGGCCGAGGCGGCCCCGGCTCCGTTACCTCACGGCACGGGGTGGCCCCGAGAGGGCCTGGCTGTCTCCGCCTGCGCTCTCTTGAGAGTTTTCATCACCCTCTCGGGGGTGAGGGGCTGGCTGTACCGAGCCCGGTGCAGGCTGAAGGCCGCAGTGCTGCTGAGGGCCTCGCTGAGCTGCGAGCTCAGCCGCACTCCCGGCAGCCCTCAGCTCCCTGGCCCCGCTGAGGCCTCGTGGCGTCTCGTCCGGCTCTCCTGCAGAGGTTCTTCCAGGACGCGACCATGAGTGACCAAATCCAGTTCATTGTTGAGAAGCTCAATCAGGAGCCCTTCAGGAAGAACTACAATTTAATCACGTTTGACTCCTTAGAGTCGGTGCAGCTGTTGCAGCTGCTCAGTGATGTGCTGGGGGAGATTGACCCGAAGGTAAGGAGGGCAATCAGAGGTGCTCAGACCTGGGTAACTGCCAACATCTTAAGTTGGCCTGTCACAAAAATTGCACGAAATGCTTTTACTTAGGTCTGGTGGTGTGTATCTTTGTGGCATGTTTGGTTTACCAAAATAGCTTGTATGAGTCTTCCTGCAAATAAATGTGCCTGGCAAAAATCCTTTGTGGCTATATATCTACAAGTTGTTGGTGAGCAAACAAATGTTTCTTGGGCCAGGATGCTGGATCTTCATCCACCAGAGACTGATGACTTTATGTTTTAACTTGGGAATCAAGGTAGAGATCTTAAATTGGTTCAGACTGACAGCAACTCTATTCTTGAGTCAAAAGTCAGGCTAAATCTTGTTCACACATGTAGTGTAGGAGCTGACTAAGAACAGTTTCTCATATGCAACTGGTAACTGAGTTACTGACTCCCCTTACAATGACACTACCAAAGGTGTGAGATCCGAAGGGATCAATTCTGTACCAGTGGTATAGAGGTATATGTTCTGCTGTGGTAGGATCTCAGACTTGGAAGTAATTTCTTCCTCTGAATAGATGAGGTCCTATGAGTGGGGAGAACTTAAGCCTGGAATAAAGTTACCTGAATACGCACATAGGAGGAAAATATTTTAAAGATAATAATAACTTGGTCACAAAAGGAATGTTCTATATGGAACTCACTCCACTGACACGTGATAAATGAATAAAGTTGAAATGACTTGAACAAATACTGGATATTTATTTGTATGTTTCAAACTATGTAGCATGCTGTTGACGTTAGAGAGGAGCTGCCAGAGAATACAGCTAAAAGAATGTTGACTCTCCTTGGTATCCTTAAATACAAGCCTCCAGGAAGCGTAACAGACCTGTAAGTATCTTTTTATCATGATTCGTGGATTAAAGGTGTTACAGCTTCTATGTAGCAACCTTTAGTTCAGGGTTTCTTTTTGTATTTTTGACCCTGACCATGGCAGTGGACATGTGTAACGTGTTAAAGAGCTCCTGTTTTGTCCCACTGGTAGGGCAGCACAAGGCTCCCGCAGGTGTGGGGCAGCCCCGGGGCGCGGCTGCAGCAGCTGCTATTGTGGAGTCTGCCAGGAGAGGGTGCCGCCTGCATAGCAGGGTCACTTCTGCCCCCAGTCCTTTCAGGCTGCAGTGCCACCTTCCAGTGCCAGGTGGTAACCCTGAAAACCTGCCCTCATTTTCTCTTTTCCAGAAGAATGTTGCTGGGAAGGATGAATCGTTTTTGCAGGCTTTATCATTTTGTTTTGTTATGGGGTTTCTGTGTGCCTCAAGGTAGCAGAATCAGGATTGTAAATAGCAAACTGGCACTGTGACTGCCTTCTGTATTAACTACAATAAGAAAGCCATTAGGGAAGCGGAATGGGAAAGTCAAAACACTGCAAACTTTCCAGCCAGTGTTCTTTCGTTTGAGATTTACTGATAGTAGGTGATACTTTTTGCTGTTGTTGTTGTTTTTGAATAGGAGCGCGTTTCGCCAAGGGTTGGTTACGGGAAGCAAACCTGTAATTCATCCTGTCTTACATTGGCTTCTTCAGAGAACCAGTGAACTCAAGAAAAGGGCTTACCTGGCACGCTTCTTGGTAAAACTGGACGTGCCAGTGGAGTTCCTACAGGATGATACCGTGGCTGACGTCAACAAGCAGGTAGTGTTTTTCACATATGCCAACATTTTACAGGAATTAATTGAAGTGCCAATAGAAGAATGGATGCATGAATTGAGGGGTTACTGCTGAGATTAACGTTCGAGAGAGTTATGATAAGAGCATCTTGCAATCAAGGGTTGACAACCACTCATGAAAATAAACGCGTTTTAACCACCTCCAATAAGCCTTGCATTATTTAGGAAGAGGTAGCATTAAATTGAAGGACTTAGGCTCACTGATCAAATATTGTGTGCTGATTAGCCTTCATTTTTATGCTGCCTAAGAAACATACTTTTTTTCTTATTTTTTTAACGCTTTTTTTTATCTTCTGTGAACTCTAACATGGATATTTTTTAACTTTATAAATCAGTTCAGCAAACATTATGAACAAAAATGGCTGCCTTACAATTGTCAACTGAAGGTATAATACTTAGCCCCTAACATTTATATTAGTGTTACCCCACTTCTGCTTCAACCATTCTTCTTTCTTTTTCTTTCTTTTTTTTTTTTTTTGTGAGAAGTCAGAAGTTTCTTTTTCCTTGGCTGATGTTCCTATTTACTATGTTTCCTCTTCTTTTCTGAGCATTAAATGTTGATTTTTAGACAACGAGACTGAATGGGTTTAAAATGCAGAGCTACACGTGAACCAGAATTACGTTTTTACATAATTTGTGTTATCTGAGGTACATATTTACTTTTTTTGATCCAGTTTTTTCTGCCTTTTGTCCTGAGTAGTTGCTTGCAAATCACAGTGTTTGTGAGCATTCGTAACAGGTAACCTTGCTTATTAGCTGTGCACCAGCAAAGCTCTGCATCTTGACTGATTTTCTTTTTTGATGGCACTAGCAAGGTCTGATTTCTAACTTTGAACAACTGAGCAGAAGTAGGAAGGAGAGGAAGGAATGCAGGTTGTAAGTTTTCTCAGTATGTCACAGTCTCAATATGTATAAATATCCATCTCCATTATTTCCATTACGTAAGATGTATTCCTTTTTGGGATTGCAGTAATAAAACCATCTCATTAAATCAATACCCTTCTGATTTAACTCAGAACAGAAGCTGGGGTAATACAGTGTCTTTATGTAACACAGCATTACCATGAAAATATTTAGATACTAATGAATTAAAGAATTTAGCCTCAACTATTTATGTAGGCAGGCATGTGATGGTGCATTTTAATAGAAACATTTCAAATGTGAAATTCTGGAGATCTTAGAACATAAGCAAGTTTTATGGGTGTGTAGAATCAAGCTCACCTGTACTGCAGATTCCCTAAACAGGGCTCTCAGAAACCTGGCGCTTCCTTGATTTTGTGATTTGGACATCAAATTGGTTGCAGTGTATAATTCTAAAAGTAATTAAATTTAGGTGAAAATCTGATTGACCAGTCTTCAGTGAGATGCTGCCAGGAATCACTGTGCTGCTGAAACCTGGGCTTTGTTTGGTCATTTGAGTGTGTCAGTTGTTTCAGGTGCGTGGGCTGGAATGCTGCTGGGTTTTTTTGTTTGTTTGTTTGTTTTTAGTGGAAGTGGGAAACCTCCCATTTGCTCTGGTTTGCCAAACTATGCTGTGCCTGTGTTTGGGTTTTGCCAAGTGCCTTGAAATGTTGTGTCCCCATGAGGAAGAGACTCCCTAAACTCACCTTTTGAAAGAGGTAGAGAAGGGATGCAAAGGAAGGTTTTTGGAACCAGCAATGAATACAGTTGCTCCCAGTTGGCTTGCTGTCTTCTTATTTGTTGAAGTACTTCTGTAACACCTAAGTGAGCTACAAGGCAGTTGCATTTTTACTTCTGGTTTTTTTTTTTTTTAACTCATTTTTCATCACCCAGCCTGTGTGTACCTTCTGATCATACCTTTATTTGTCACTTAGTCAAGCCCTTTTTGATTATGTCATCTTTTTCCCAGTGGCCATTTTACTGCTGTTTTTTGAATTTGCTCCAGTATGTCCTAGTGTGCCTGCTCCTAAAACAACCAGCAATAAAAGGGAGTATTCCAGCTGCTGGTTCCTCAGGTTCTATGCGATGGAATTGCTGCTTCACTTGTCACAGATTTGCCATCTTTGTTTAACCTGGCCTTTGCCATTTCGTATTCAGCAGTCATATCAATTGCTCTTTCCAGGAAGTAAAAAAAAAATATATTCTCTGCTTAGATTTTTCCATCTTATTGAATGGCTGTTTCTGCAGAGGTTATTCTTTCCTATCTCTCAGCTTGCATTTCTTCAAGTTGAATCTAAATTTATTTCCCATCCAAATTTCTAAACTCTTTCTGTCCCCTGTTATTTCTCTACCCACACAGACTTTCACACTGCCTCTCAGTTGAAGAGTGCTGGTGGGCAATGTACTGGTATGGAGGTAGCACACTGTCTACTTCTTCCTAAAAACCAAGCTACATATATCAGCCTCTATAATACACCGAGGACACCATTATGCAAATGTGGCAAAACTGTTTCTCACGTGTTAAGTCAGGTGTGCTCTGGAGCTGCTTTACTGGAGAGAAAATCAGTGCTCTAACCTCCAGCTCCATTGCCTCGCTCAAGCATCTTATTAGACCCAGCTCTCCCTTTTTAGCTTGATAAGTTTACACATGTAATGTATGCGGGTTTATAGTAAGGGAGAACAGTTAATGTAGCATTGTCCCTCTCAGCTTACATCTTGTTTTGAAACTACGTTGTGTGTTACAAGGGGAGAGGTTAAAATGCTAAAGAAATCATGGAAATTCTGACTATCAACTTGAAATGGGAGATAACGTCGTGTTATATTTTTTTCTTCTGCTTCATAAGTTCCTAAGTTTTAGTGGTGAAAAATCCATTTAACTCTTGTTTTTACAATGTTTCTGTCTGTGTTTACTGTCTTAATAGTAAAGCAACGTTGGCCTGAAAACCCTCAGCCATAGAGCTCATTCTGCATAATTTTATCTCATTTTGTAGTATGAAGAACTGATGGAAGCATTTAAAAACCTACATAAGGAATGTGAGCAGCTCAAAACATCTGGTTTATCTACTGCAGAAATAAGAAGGGTAAAAATATGACAAAAATGCATTGTTTCTGTGTATGCTTTTTTAAAATATTCTAATTTTTTGGTTGTGTGAACTCACTGCAGTGTGTACATTATAGAGGTCAGAGCTGATTGGCACTCAGTTGCTGTTTTGAAACTGTTCTCTGTTGGCAAACAGAAAGTCCTTGCTCATGCTCAGAACTGGGCTTTGTGAAGCAGATGGGGAAATGAGGCTGCCAAGACTGTGTTCAGCATGATTTTCAAATATTGGAGCTCTTTTTCTGTGACCACAGACTGATATAAAACCTTGAACTTTACTGATATAGGGTAATAATTTCAGAGGTTGAATGAATTAAGAGCCTAAGTCAACAAAAATGGTGTTTCTATGTGGCTAAAGTGTTAGTAAAGATATTTGTCCTGTTTCATCAAAATGTTTGAGCATGAATCCAGCTTTCCATTAAGGCATACAAACAAGTTAAGCAAATGTTGAGATAAGGCCTAACCTGATAATTTAGTTCCCTTTCTCTCATAGTTGTTAATATGTTGTATCCTGCTGTTGTAAGGTAGGAGGAAAGAAGGATAATTGGATATGTGTTTTAGAACCATAGATTATTTCTTTTAACACAGTTTTAATGGAAAAAGTATCAGCAAGTTTAACTCCTATGCAGAGTATAACTGCAAGTTTTATGGTACAACTCCATGCAGATTGCCAGGAAGTGGGTAATGGTAAGATTTAAGAACAGATGTTTAATTGCATCATGTGTTTTATTGTGCTGATTTTTGCTCGGTTGTTTCTGTTTGTGGGATGTAGGGCTTGGTTTTCTGTTTTTTGTTGGGTGTTTTTTTTTTTTTAAATACATCTGCTTTTATTTTAAAAGCTAACATTAGTACTGAAGGATGCAGAGAGTGGAAACTGAGGAAGAAGTAGGAAAGATGAGCAGGACTGGAATCCTGGACATTCTGTTCACAGATTGATAAAGTTATAACTGCTTCAGGTGTATTCAGAGATGAATTCTGCTTTTCACAGTAACTTGTACAGAATTTAGTTCAATCTGCACCATGTAGTAAATTCACATTTCTTTATCTGTTTTTGCTGCTGTTTAGGATATAAGTGCAATGGAAGAGGAGAAAGATCAACTCATCAAAAGAGTGGAGCGTCTTAAGAAGAGGGTAATAAGAGAAGTAACGCTGTTACATTTCAGTGTCATAATCCTTGGCTTGCAACTCTGATTTTGGAATGCAAACAAGGATTAGAATAAACATACTGCGTGTCGAGGAAGGAGTCAAATAACTAATTGACCTACAGGGAATCTCCCTAGGCGTTAGTCCAGAGCTTTTAAGAATCTTGAGTCCAGTACTTTGCTGTCATTTCTGAGTAGTAACGTGTATGGAAAGGAAGTGCTAAGTGGGTTTGTTAGACATATGATCTCTTTAATGTATTTCTCAACTATCTGACAGTAACATGCACTATTTATCCACTTGCTGTAGGTGGAGACAGTACAAAATCATCAACGAATGCTTGAAATAGCAAGACAGCTTCGCTTAGAAAAAGAGAGAGAAGAATCTTTGGCTCAACAGAAACAAGAGCAAAAAAATCAGGTATTGCCATAAAAGTGTACCTCTTAAAATAAATAGTTTTTATATCTGTCTGGGGATTGTGTGTGTAAAGAAGCACATCAGGAACAAAACAGTGCAGCTTCTCCTAATAGCAGAAAATTAAATCCTATGTAAAATACAAATACCTGTGTGCATCTTAAAGGAAGAGGCTTGATGCTGCAAGTTTTGAACGTCTCATTTGAGATATTTGGCTGCCTCAACTACTCCTGACATCATCATTTAGCAATCCTAGGAAATGTTCCATGGCTTACTGTGGGAGCACCCAGAAAGAGGTCTTCGTGTTTATGGTACTGAGCAAATGTTTCCTTAGTTTGATTGTCTCTCTGTGCACTTGCACTAAGATTGTGTGGTAACACAACAAGTAGCACAGCTTTTTGCTGTGAATCAGTGCAGGGAGAATATAATTTGAATTCAGGAGCAACTTGGGGTTTTGTTCCTGAGTCTCACAAAGGTGATGTCCTAGTAAGTACTAGAAGCAGCTGGTATCTGGATGTAGGGGTGGATTTCATTCCTAAGCTGTGTTGCATGTTCCCAAGCCAGCCTGCTGTATCATCTCAGTCAATTCTGTTGATTTCAAATAGAATATGAACTTTTGCTCCTTTTAAAGCAGTGTTAAACTCAGATGCCTATTATTACAGTCAACATACTGATTTGGAATCAATGTGAATCAGAAGGTTTTCAAGCCATTGGTCCTTTCTTGAGGAAGGTCACAAGAAAATACTGTGGTGTCCAGGTGATTCTGCTTCTTATCACACATTTCTCTAAGTAGCAGAAATACTATTCACCTGGCTGCTGTTGTTTGGCAACAAGCTTTTCTGTGTGCTCTCTACTTGGCTCAGCAACAGAATAGTGGATTGCTGTGACAATTCAGCTGCCTTCCAAGAGATGCAGCACAAAGAGAATTTTCTACTGCAATCCTGACTAGCTTTTTTGCTGTTCTTTTAGTGTTCAAGCCACTTGAATGTTTGCTTGAAAACAGTTTAAGAAATTTGTGCTATAGAGAAAATACTACTTGGGAGTACAATGCTTTTCTTAATTAACAGTAAAGAATAAGTAAATCCAGGCCAACTGTTGAAAATTGTTTTGGCATGTTTCCTTGTGAACCACAAGCTGGTAGCTACCATTTTTTGTATTCAGGATTCTTTGTGATACTCTTTTTGCTTTAGTTACTTGGAAATGCATTTCAAAGGAATGAGCTTATGCATGTACAATTTTCTCTCCAAAGTTATTCCATGCAGAGCAGAGACTGCAAAGAGCACAGCTCCAGCTGAAAGAGATGCATCATGCAGTAGTGGATTCAAAACCTGAAAGTAAGTAGTAATGTGTAACACCTGGGGGGTTTACACTTCTGTGAGAAATGAAATTAAAACTGCATGATTCTCAGTAACATGGGAGTGCCAGAAAGCACATGTGAACTAGAGAGAAACTAATGGAAGATATGAATTCTAAAGGCTGGAGCTCCTAAAGGCAAATATGCCTTGCTATAAGAAGGCAGGGGGGTAGTCATAAGGAAGATGATGAGATACCTCAGTCTTGTTTTTTGAGGTCCACTTTGCTTAAAACCTTAAGCCAGTTACATACTGAAAACTAATTATAATGCTCTGCAGCAAAAGAAACCAAACAGCTGGAACTACAAGGATTGGAAAAAGCAGAAACATCTTAGAAAAGGCAGAGTTTAGATACTGTGATGTTTTGTGTCTTTTGTATTTGCAATTGAGGATCAGGGAAATACCTCTTCATCTCAGTGAATGTACAAATACATTGAATATTAATTTTTTTTTTTTTTTTTTTTTTCAGTGTAGACTTGATGTTGGTTGGTTTTTTTTTTTTAAATTACATTTAGTAAAACATTCATTTGGAGAGCTTTATGGCCTGTTTCTTATTATGGTGCAAGTTTCTGTTGTAGTTTTGCATGGTACCAAAAACAAACCCACTTCCTAATCTTTTTATAGAGAATGAATTTTTTTTGTGTATATATAATATATTTATAGATATACATAATAGACATTTATATATTAACATATAGATGTAATATATAGACCTATTTATAATGTTTATGTAAAATAGTTTGTTCTCATGATATGACTGTAGGTGTTTTAGGTATGTTGATGTAGACTGCTGCTGCTCATTTTCAGTCTTATCTCAGTCTGCAAATCACACTAACAAAGTAAGTTATACTCCTTGTAGAGTAAGTCTTTGCTCATTGATCCACTATAAAAATAGTGGGTAGGAGGGAATTACAGAGAGCAGATAAATGCATAACTCACTGTCTCCAAAGTCTAGAATTCTACAGCATCCATGTTTCTGAAGGAAATATAACTAGGATTAATCTGAGTCTGTGTAGAGTTCAGCGTTTCTGCTGCATCTGACCTCAATTGGTTATCAGTAACGTATCACAGGATTGATAGAAGCTTTGTGTGTTGTTTATGCTGTCATTGGGGATGATTTATATGGAGAACTCTACTGTACTACTAAGGTATATGACTCAAAGTCTTTTTTCCCAGAGCCCTTGCACTGGCATGCTGAGTTGCTGTGGTTTAAAAAAAACAAAAAACAAACAAAAAAAACCATTAGAATGCTTTTTATTATCTGAATAAATAATTTTCCAAATGATAGCATCTACGTATTTAGATTTAAATTTAGTGAAGCAATTAATTGTCCTACTTTGTCAGATAGTTTAGTATTTCAGTTGCATCATGGATGCTTTGCCAGTTGTTTTGAGTGAGAGGATTTTTCTTAGTCAGCAGCGCATTGTGATGCCATTACTTTGTAACTTTGCTTTATTTTTTTACTATGTTCATCAGCATTTGAGCCACAAATGAAAACTAAAAGAGTATCTGAACTATCTTCTTTAAGGGACCTGTGGTGAGTTCTGTAACAGTTCCATTTTTGCTGTGGCTGAGAGTTTATACAGCAAAGCTACGTCGACATTTCTATTTCAGTTCATAGGGTATTTTTAAGGCCTGTGGAAACTTGGTGGTTTCAGTTCACAGAAGCAAAGGTAACATAATAAAAAGTCAGTAAATGTCATTTGATCTCTGAGATGAAAATAAAGTGATCTTATTTATTACCCTCATCTTAAGCTTTACTTGCAGGAAAAAAATAAAGTGTTTAGATGTTCTGAAGAAAAACTTGGAGTCATTATTTAAGAAAACTTCTGTTGAAATTTTGCCCAAACAAAGACTTTAGGACTTAGCTTTATAATGTAATTACTTTTCCCCTCAGTAGTGACAAGGACACTGCCTGTAGTAGCAATTACAGAATGCCAACTGTTGATTTCTTTTTTTTAATAATTAAAATTATGTGGCCACAGCGTATTGAATAGGATTTCATTTCTTTTAAAAGCTTTATTGGTCTGCAGTTAACACTATTTATTTTTTAAAAATTCCCTTTGGCTCCAGTTCTGTATCTCAGCTGCCTACTCGCATCAGTACGAGCTTGTACACGGATGATTCAAAGACTGTTTGGTAGCTGTGGATTTTTACTGCAAGTTCGGTGCTTTTCCTTACAATAATTTTCTTCTGTTTTTAATACTTTACCTGTTTTTACTTCCAAAGCAAGAGATACATTGATAAAAGCTGTTGTTAATAAGTAGATTTTTATATGTGTTATGGGTACATGTTGCTTTGATTACTTCATCTGGTAATTAACTTAGGATGATGTTCTTTAAAGAAATGCAAAGTAATTCCTTCAGGAATGCAACCATCCCAAACCGATGAGTGTCGTTAACGTGCCGTTAGCATAAGTCTGCTTGAGCTATTCCAGAAAAATTTAGCTTATGGTTAATAGTTTATTTACTTTTAGAAATACAATGTGTTACTTAGAAGACCTTTTGTTGGACCATGAAGAACAGCTGATCATTGTCTTGCAGACTACAACTGATAACACTGGTTTCCATAGTATGTGCCTTCCTTGTTTATGAACTTCAGTACTGCTCTGTACTTTGCTTAACTACAGAGAGGCAGTTGCTGCTGCTGTTGATAAGAATTTCTGATTTACAAAATATCTATTTCTGTTAGCATTTTTGACACTGAGCGCTGGTTTGAACAACCTAACAGAGATTGTTATATTTTTGCCTTGAATATCTGCTGGCACAAACACAGACTGTGAATGCCAAGAAGTGATCTGAATTACTGAAATTCTTGATCTCTGTCCATTTGAATGGAACGTTATTGTTCAAATTATTGGCAGAAATAGTGAGAAATGGGTGCCTTGCTTTGATTAATATTGATTAATGAATATTGATTAAAAGAATGGGTTAAGAGGGTTTCCAATGATAAACAGAAACATGCAATTGGTACATTCTATTAAATTAATACGTAGTAGCATTTCAGACCAATGAGAACATCAGGGATGCTTATAAGGAGGAATTATTTTGTACAGATGTTTATTTTATGGCATTCTGAACACTTAGAGAAAAATAGAAACTATTATTAAAATATCCTATTTGAATGAAAACACAAACTTTTTCGGTTGTTGTTTGTTTAAAACTTTTTGTTTGGCCACAGAACTATCTGTCTCTGAAATTCAAAGTTTAAATAATTTCCTCCAATGCTGAGACCAGGTTACAGTTGTGGTAAAGGAAAATGACTAAGGAGGAACTCAATAATAAAAATGTTTAAGGATGGAAATACAAGGCTGGCTGGTAAGACTGATAGTATTGCTATGGTTGAGTCTTTCAAGACCTTTGACTTTTTTACTTGCACCCCACTTTGAAGAGCAAACAAGGCAAAGCAAAAGTTCAATGTGATCTGTATTAAATTGATTAAAAGGACTTTACTGAAGACTTTAAAAAGGCAGCTAATTGGGGAATTTTCACTGATTGGATGTCTTTCTAATGGGGGCATGCATAAATGAGCATTTGGCTCTTTTTTCAGTTTTATGTTAGTGCCATGAAAGAAAATAGCAAATGATCACTGATTAAATTGCCAGATGGAAAACAAGATTGGGGAATTGACTGGGTAATGAGGAGGACAGGCTATTGATTCAAAATTATCACTTGGCAAACCAAGACCGTGCCAACAATACATATTTGAAGGAAAAGCCAAATGTGGTGACATGTGGGAGTTGTTCCTAAGAAGTGATTCTGATAAAGGCTTGTGGGGTATGGTGTAAAAATGGTGAACTGGAGCTCCTGGTGTCAAAGACTTGGTGCTATCCTTGCATTTATTTATAGAAGGAATGGAACAGGAGCATTGTTGCTCCTCTTTTTTTTATTTTAGCTCTGATATTTCCATCATTGCAATACCCTGACCACTGCCTGGAATTTGGGAAAGATACTGAGAAGTTAGATTTCAAAGAGCTGCAGTAATAATTATAACGTAGGAAGCGTACTGTACTGTAGAACATTTGGGAAGCTGTGTAGTTTTTCAGTGAGATATTGATAGATTTAATCATCATCTATTAATGTTTGCGTGTCCTAGAACTCTGCTTAACACAGGGAAATTGAAAGTGGTACCATTGGAAGCTGCAGACTGAATCCCTTCAGTACTCATTTGTACAGCATGAATGCAAACAGGGAAGTGAGGTCTTTGATTAGCAAGCAAATGCCACGTGGAAGTCCTTTCCACACCTGCCTTTGTCATAGCCTTCCTGGGTGATACTAAACAAAGTGTTCCAAGTATTGGCAGGTAGCTTTATTTAATTAATGAATTAAATCAGTATTGCAGGTGTTTTTGATATGGAATGCCTAATGGGGAGCCCACAGAGGGAAAAGAAGTAGGAGCCTGAGCACAAAGTAGATCCAAGTTTACATCTATTAGAAGAATTATGCTGGGAAACCTGCTTCTTTCCTACATGACTGAGCAAGCACTAAGAAAGTCTTTCTCCCACCTCACTTTATGCAATAATTATAATAACAAAATTGAATGGAAAACATGAGGAATTGCTGTTAATAGCTCTTCACGTGTAAGGTTGGCAGAGCCTTGCCAAAATAGCCCTAGGGCACAGAGCCAGCCTTTCTGTGCAGCTTACGTATGTAGATTTTGTAACCATAAGTGAATGCTAAAACATTAAAAACAGGGCTTATATGTGTAATGGAAAACTTAAAGTATGCTTGCTTTTCTTTCCTCTGTCCTGGGAATTTGGAAAAAAAAAAAGTCACTGAGAAAAAAATCTTAAAAGAGCTGCTGTGTGTTTGTTTTTTAAGGTTCTGTAAAGCAGCAGAAATAGCTCTTAGGTAGCTACTTCTCTGTATGTTCAATCATACAGAAGAAAAAATATCTCCAGAAGTATTTAGGAAAGAACTGCATTAGTCATGAGGGATTTTGGCATCATCGTGTCTTTCCCCATCAAGTTGTCAGGTTTTAACTCGCTTCATTGTGTGATGCAGAACCAGTTGGTGTTTGAAAGAAGTTGGTAATAGCTCTCAGGTTATCAGAGAAAGAAATCAAGATAGCAATCAAGTTTTTACCCAGTAAAGTCAATAGGTCCCTTCTGTTTTCAAAAGCAGTCATTCAGGCATGGATATTTCATGAGTTTAAGCTTAAATCTGTAATATTTAGGCATGCTTTATAAGAAAGCTGGAGAAGGGTAAGAAATAAAGCATAAATTATACATGTGGTTGTTTTATTTTATTTTTTCCATCTCAGAGGCAGGCTAGCAAAAAAAAATAGTTGATTAGAATATTAATATTAAATATCAGGATAACTTAATCGATATCGCTTTGATTTCCACACTGAAGTTCTTGGTTATAAATATCCACTGGGGAGTTATGTTCCTAGTTCTGAGGTGATAATTCAGCTCATGGTGTATGTGGGAAGCTTTGCTGCATTTGCAGAGGTGGTAGATTTCTAGTGAGACATTAAAATGTAGTCCTTCCTGCACAGCTCGTCAGTGGGCTGAGGAAGACTGAAAGTCAGTTCTCCTGGAAGAAAGAGGTGGGTATTCCTGGGGGTTGATTGGTGTTCTCTCCCAGTAAGTTCCAGTGCATTTCTGAGTCTAGCTGTAGTGCCCAGCACGTAATGGCTATTGCACACATATAGCAAGTGCATTGCCTGTTCTGAAACCAGTACTGAAGCTGTTTTGCACATGATGAATAACCTTCCCACAAAGGGAAAAAGACTTTATGGTAGTGCTGTTTTTCATGAAATGAGATCAATGAAGTGGACAGCTGGAAAAGAGGAATTCCTTCTTGTTTTTAGTTTGGTTTGACTTTATTTTGTTAGGAGCACTGCTTTCCCTAGGGTCTATTCATTCTCATTCTTGAGGCTTTCTCAAGAGCTAAGTATGGCTCCTTTCTTCTCTGGCAGACAAACCAAGTACATTTCATTTCGACCCAAGCTGAGAGCAGAGAGTGAGGAGGATCTGTCAGTACTGTGTCTAGTCCTCTTGGTAAATAGATACAGAATAATGGAGACTTTTCTGAGACTTTTCTGAGACTTGTATTTAACTTTGTTCTGTCCTTCTCCTTACATCAGTCAGTGATGTGGTCAGCAGGCTCTTTAGCCTCGAAGCCTAAAGCTCTGTTTTCAACTTGCATCCTTTCCTCTCTGTTTCAGTAAGATCAGCTCTGTTCCTGTACTCAAGCTTTCCTTTCTTTCTGCAGAGAAAGACAGATTTGGAATTTCTTGTTTTGCTTTGCACTTCATGGCAAAACAACAAACCCAACAACCAAGAAAAACAAACAAACGAACCGGAACACCAACAAACCAACAGTACACCCCCAGTGAGTCGTCTTAAAAAGTACCCAGGGTCCTTACCTTTTAGTCATTTTGGCCATGAAAAAATTCAGAAATACCTCTTCCCACTCCAGTCTGATGTGCAACTTCCAAATTTTACCATAGCCCTTGGTACAGGTGTCTTGGAGGAGTAATTGCACTGAAGTATCTGTTGTCAGCAGACTGCTGTGTAATGTAATTTAAATAGCAATTTGGTTTTATTCTGTCACATTTTTCTAGCTCTGTATTGTTCTTATCTGTGTTTATAAATAAATTATTTGTAATGGAGGCTAAATTACCTAGCAAAAGCAAAGTCATTATAAGCATGTATCATGCAGTGTGAATCAGGCTCAGTCATCAGGTAGGTGATTGCTTTTCTCAATAGAATTTTTGACATTACACAGCAATTTCTTTTTTTAAAAAATCTGTTTGTTTTCAATATTCACAGTGTACTGAATTGAATGCCCAAGATTATTTGCTCTTAAAAGAAAAAATCATTTGTTACTTAGAGAGAGGCATTTTATAATGTAGAAGACTCTTACAGTATGCATACATTTATTTCAGCTCATTGTAAGGCCTTTTTTAGATACAAAATTAGAACAAAGAAGTTTTATTTTAAGGGAGAGTTTCCAAGGACGTAACAGACCTTACAGGAGGCTGGCCAAATTAAGATCTTTGTTCTATTTGGAGACACAGATAAAGGATTCACACTGAGATAATTTGTCTGTAGATGATGTAATTCACATGAAACTATGACCTGTGAAATCTATGGGGTAGAATCTCTCCATTGCTCCAGCCAGGGATGTTCTAAGGGATCCAAGCTTCAGAGGAGCCCTGGGCAAGGCAGCACAGCTCTGACGTGCTGTGCTGTCCCTCACTGATCATGCATAAGACACCAAATTCTAGCCATCAACTTTTCAGTTTCAGAAGAGCATAACTCACTACAGAAAATAGTAACACGATGCAATGACGCAGTGTCTTGATGTGCCTAAGACATGCATGGTGCTAATGGTTCTCTTTGTCAATGTTGTGTGTTGAGTTTTTGTATCTGATTCATCTGGACTTTGATCTATGGAAAGATTTTACTTGTTTTATTGACTAGAAGAATACAGTGAGGAGTTAACAGATACGTGTTGGAGGTACAGGTGGGTAGCAAGTGTAATGCAACTTGTTTTGTTTAACATCCAGATTAAAAAGCTAGACCAAGTAACTACTTGTTAATTTGAGTTTTGAGAGGAAGATCCAAGCATTGTGCTGTTTTTATTGTAATCCGTCGCTGAACACTTCATTGTGTTGAGAAAATTGAACTTAATTATCCTCTACATTACTTTCTTCATGGACATGCATTGATTTAATTTGTTCTTAAGGCTTAATGAAGAAACTGGAAGAGGAGATAAACTTCAATTCATACCTCGCTACTGAAAAAATACCTAAGGAGCTTGAAAGTAAGAAGAAATCAGTGTATTTCTTACAAAAGGCAATTGCAGAGCCAGCTATGGGTCAATCAGATCTCAATGTACTTGAAAGCAAGGTAAGTTGACCAAAGTGACACTTAATTCGTGTTTCATAGCATGCTCTAGAGTTTGTGCATATTGCACTTCTCCTGTGCCTACTTTGCATCCTCGAGACAAGGTTTAATTCCCAAAGGAACACCTCTTCAGTTGTAAAAGAAGTGTTACTCACTAAATGCAAGCTCTTAGATAAGTAAAAAAAGAAAAAAACAAAACCACAAAACCCACTGTATCCTTAAATGCTATTAAGAAAATTAAGTTAGCAATTTGCTGTTGTGTGAGCAAAGATATTAGTTCAGCATTAAAGGTTTGATTTTTCTTCTCTTCAGTTTTAGCTTGTTTTAAACTTTCACTGGCATCAAGGGAGTTTATACCAATATAAGAAGAGTGCTTATGACATGGTGAACAAAGCTTTGTTTGAAATACTTAGCTTTTTAAGTATGCAGCTGTTACTCAGAGTAACGTTGGGGTAATGTCCTGCTCTGTACCTGCACTTTGTTTTGACTTCATTAGATTTTAGCATATATTTACACTGCTTGCTTATCAGCAGTCATCTAGTTAGCAGAGAATTAAAGGAAGGTTGCTAGGGCTGTGGTTTCCATGGCTGATGAGAGTCCCAGTGTAGCATTAAGTCAGAAAAGAGGTAGCTGGAATCAGTGTGCTGGTGTAGGTGTTTGTTTCCAGATGCAGTGGGCTTTAAAGTTTCAGCTAGAGTGAAGATTGACAATCTGAACCTGTGGACAACCAGGTGCATTTTGTGGCAGCAGAAGGAGGGTACCACAGAGCTGCAGTGTGATGGCTGTGACTCTTAAAAGCATTGGTAAAACTTGGTATCACCTACTTTTTATCTGCTGCTCTTTAGAAGTCTAAGTGAAAATAAATGTTTGTTACTATGTGACAGTGTGCCTTTATCAATATATATGACAACATCAACCTTTTTCTGTCTGTATGTACCAAGTCACTGATTCTTTTATTCTTTTTTCTGTCCATGTATACCATTTTACCTCATTTTCAGGGCAAATGTCACGCTCCTGCCTTATCATTAAGGCACAGAACTGGAAATCAAAAACCCAGCCTCTTCCTGGCCAGTACTGAGTAACTCATTGAGTTTTTTGTTCTTTTCTTTCCTCTAGTTCGAAAACAGAGTTAGCAATATTTCCTCGTTAACTGGGCTGTTAGTTTGGTTTGTAAAGCATTTAATTCTTGGAGAAGACAAAGAAATAAAGTTCTGTTTCCTCTGTTTTTCGGTTCTGTTTTGCAGATAAATGAAGTAAATGTACAAATAAATCAGCTTATTGAGAAAAGAATGATGAAGTATGAGCCTGTTGATAGTAAACTTTCCATGTATCGCCAACAGGTAGGAAAAAACAAAACAGTTTAAGAAGAATCAGTGGAGCAATTTCAGTCACTGTTGCATGTAGACTTTTTTCTTTAACTTATTAAAGCAAGAATCTGTAGAAATAGATGATAATGTGAGACAGAACCTAAACAAGTGGCGTGCTTAAGGCTTAGTCAAACAATTGCTTCCAGTCATGCCAGTGAGTTCCTCAGTTGCTGTCTGAGGTGTTGCCTGTCAGCTGCATCACAGGAACGCTGGAAGAATCACTTGGGAAGAGCTATTTTAGTAAATCTCCAGCTGTGGACAGAATCTTACAAGGCAGCACGTGTGCTGGATGCAGAGCTTGCTTTCAGTCATAGCACTTGCTTGTGTTTGACCACATGCTACTTTTCCTTTTACATCTGTTAAGAACGCATTCTCTGATTTTTCTCTCTGTATTTTTTTCATCCTGAAGCTATTAAAAAGTTTCTCTGTAAAATAAGCTGTGTGGTCTAGCCTTAATAAATTCAAAAGTTATAAAATGGGTTTCTGAAATCAGAGACTTTTACAGCTTACGCAGAAACATATGTGGTTTCTTTTCCAGCTGACCTGTATAGCTGCTGATTTTATTCAAGATTTCCATAATGATATTTATGGTGATGGCTTAAAAAATAAAAAGGCGTAGGTAAAATATATCAGTGGTAGGAAAAAATGGTGATAAAATGTATGCTGCAGTTCAATCACATATAAAATATGTGAAATATGCATGGTACATAATGGGCTGGTACCCAAGACCAGTTGGCTGGTGATATAACTGTGCTCAGTGGAGGAGCTTGGGGAGTTCAGACTGCTGCTGTGAGTTGAAGGCATACAGTGGTCTTTGCTTTGTTTTGCTTCTTAGTATATGGCACTACAGTTTATCACTGCAGGTATCTCATGGGGCAAAGAGCTGAGCTGACCCCAGCTGAATTCTGTTGGATGATTTTAAAAATAATGCTGCTCCTCTGAACATAGTGAGAGAAACCCATTCTGTTTTGCTTTATTTTTACTGAAGTTTTTCCTTTCATATTAAGTAACCAACAACGCATCTAAATTCAGGTGCATACTTATACGTTCCTGTGTTATGTAAAAATATACTTTGGCAAGATAAAAATGCTTTCTTTTTCTGAACTAATGTATGTTTATGTTTCTTAGTCTCTTAACTTTAATAAATGTAGGTACTAGTAAATATTCTGCCTGGTAAAACATTTTTTTAAAATGCTTTTTCTTCTAGACTAAAAAAACCAGTAGTGGAATAGTCTATAATTACAATATTTCTGTACTTTTCTGCTTTGTTCATTGTCTTTTAGCTATTTGCCAAGATTTAGAGGCTGGGTTCTGCTTAGTATAACATATTTCTGTAGGCTGGAGTAGGTTGGAGTTATAAAAATCTGTATTATGACATTTGTGAAATCTTGGATGTCTTTCCAGTTAAACCATGTTGATGTGTCTTACATAGGCACAAAAAGGGACTAAGTAGATTAAATGGAGCCCCCCAAGTGCATGCCTGTTCTTCAGTGACAATGAAAAAGGAGGTGAAGAAACATATATGTAAAATGCATCAGCAAGGATCTGAGGAGCAAAGGGACATGACTGAAATGTCAGCCATACTGAAGGAAGCTTGGAATTGGCAATCAGCTTTAAAGAAGCTGTGTTTAATCAACTGTGTAGTTGTGTAATCTGTCTTTTTCTTTGCAAAGATACGTGCTCACAATTCCCAGTGAAAATGAGTTTCCTACAGTTGAGATGCGATTTCAGTGGTGCCACACCTGAAGTTTTCATGTTTTTATTTTATTAATGATTAAACATTAATAAGATGTTTAAGCAATAAAATATAAATATATTATAAAAATATAGATATAATATAGAATATATTATATTAATAAATTTTTACTTTGCATGTCCATGTATATTTCTGATGTTCATTCAGGCATCTATAATTTCCCGGAAGAAGGAAGCCAAGGCAGAAGAACTTCAGGCTGCTAAAGAAGAGATGTCTAGCACAGAAAAGCAGATGATACAGAAGACGAATCAGGCCCATGAGTTAGATGGCTCTGAAGTTCTGAAGGGGGATGAGGTACGTCATGTAACAGTGTGTATAAGAAAGACTGATTTTTATTTTTATTTTTTTGTTGTTAACTTGGAGTTTCCTTTTACCTTCTCGTTGTAATAGCTGCTTCTGCAGTATCTTATCCATTATTATAACGTGGTGTCAAAGTACGTGGCCTCAGCATTGCAACAGGCCGAGTTCTGCTTTTCCTACCCATGCTAAATTAAAATCAAATGACCAACAATGTATTTGAAGATGTTTTTGAAGTGCAGATAGTACAATGTTGTCCAGTGCTTTCAAATGCTTTCCAGTATTTAACAGCACTTTTTAAAATACTTGGTTTGCATCTACATTCAAATTATTAATTTATTCACATCATTAAATCATTCACATTCAACCTAGTAGGTTGCAAAGCACATGAGGACTTACTGTTGGGCTGTTCTAACGTTCCAGAGCTTTGAGTCAAAATAATGTCAATATAATCTCAGTGGTATGATGATAAATAACTTCAACCAACTATAAAAGTCAACAAGACTAATGGGGGGGGCTTAGGACTTCAAGTGATAAGTCATGTCAGTGAATTTATTTTTAATCAGTGTATAAGTCTATCTGATCATAAAGCATAGGAGCAGCAGTTATCAGGAACACGCTTAATACTTCAATATTTATTACCACAAAAGGTTTTACTTCAAAAAATACTTCTTGTGGACCACCTGCAGTTCATCTGTAACACAGACTTTGATTCACAGTCATCTTATCCCAGGCAAAATTTCATTTGAAGCTGCTACTTACCAAAGAAGCTTTTTCTTCTTCAGAAGTTTACAAAGAATAAAGCTGTGGCAGCTGGACAATGGTTCATCAGCAAAATGAATGGGCTGTTATTAAGAGAATAATAGAAGAAGTTTAGAAGAAGTCTGCTTAGTGTGCTTATAGGCAAATTTCCTAAGGAAGACATTAGCTGTATCGTACTCTGAATTAGTATGTATCCTAGTTTCAGCTGGGATTGAGTGAATTTTCTTCCTAGAAACTGGCAAGGTGCTGTGTTTTAGATTTTGGATGAGAATCATGTGAATAACACACTGATGTTTTAGTTGTTGCTGTCTGAATTTGCACTGCCATAAGTTTATCAAGATTAACACTCTTTGCTTTTTCTTTGTCTGTGTGCTTTTTTTTTTTTTACATACTGCTCAATACAGTCAACGCCCTTTGTAGAAGGAACTCCCTTCCTGATCCCATAGGATGTGCCTGCTCCACAAAAATCAGCTTTCTTTTAAAGGAGTCTTACAGAGTAAATGAAGTATGGGAACGTGTGGATGCGTACACTCATGCATAAGTTCTTCCTATACAATATGGAATGCATGCAGGTTTCTCTTGCCTTCTTGTCTGTTTCCCATTCTGTAAATCTAGATAAAAACCAAAGCAGTAACAGACTTATATCTAGAGTTATGTTTAGAACAAGGAGCATCTCTTGATTCCAGTGAAATTAACTCGTGCTGCAAGTCTTGAGTAACGATTTGAAGAATTAAGCTGCAGCTTTCTCTTACCATGGTGTACCATGGGCACTCATGGTGTTCCGTTGGTAGCAGTAATAACAAGACCACTAGATGAGACTTCTTTCTGCCTCAGATTTTTATCCTCAGTGAGCGCTTGGCTGGAATCTTTGACAGCTTTCAAAATAAAAATAGCAAGCAGACAATCTGTGTTTCTGTGATGGGAGAGAAATGTTTAATTAATCAACAAGAATGCATTACAGAGACAGCAACATATGCTTTACATTATCTGTAAATACACTGTAAGGTAAGAAATAATAGATGTTCTGAGTGGGGACAGCATGCTCTGATCGATAGTAACTTCAGCAGAGCTGGGTAGGAGGGTAGCAGTTACTTAAGAGGCCTGATAATGAAAAATTCAAGTTAATTGTCTGCCATAAGGAAGAGGCCGAAGACAGAACAAAGACATTACCTGTTTTGAACGTAACCTTCATTCCTTTTGTTCGATTCTGTTCTATGTTTGATTTTTAAAATATCTTCAAGTCTTCATGTTGATGAGTGCAGAATAAACAATGGAGCACTTTGGGCAAAATATCAGCTTCCAGTTAGGAGTGTTTGCATTTTTGTAAGAACTGTTTCCTGTTTTGTGAAATGCTTTCTGTATGTTGGCCCAAGGAAGGAAGCCAGCATTATACAATCAGTGTTCTGTTCCTGTTTATTAGTTCATTAGGTGTGTTGTGTATGTGTGTGCTTATACGTATACAATAGAAATAGGTTGTTGGGGAAGAGGTGATGAAGCAAAAGTGAAGTTAGCAGGTTGTCTTTCATCAGTAGGTCTCAGTTCATCGCTCACCTAGACTGTAGATTTGTTTCTGGTATGGTATGCCTTTATATTTATGTTCTGTGCTCTATTACTCCAGCTTTGAGCCAATACTAAAGGAAGTCTTGATTAATGTAACGGTGAGTCACTACTGCAATACATATGTTCAGTGAGGACAGGAAGAGGCTGTAGGTTCAACCTTCACATTCCGCTCTTTGACAACTGAGAGCTTCTTTTATGCCTTCTTGTTGCAGTCCTACACATCTTGCATTTCTTTCCTCCATTTTCAAAAGAAGAAGAGATGTGTTCTTTTTTAACAGATAGTTTCCCTGTCTTGAGTTTGAAACAGGTTTTTAATGGTGCTGCATCTAACTTATCTAAATGCTGCAGTTAAATAATTATTTTCCCATATTCTCAGTATTTCTCATCTTTGTCTCTCCCTTGGCTGTATCCTCTTACATCATAACACAAATAGTCAAAGAATTAGTGCCTTCCTGGCTTGTACTCCCACACCAGTATTCAAATCTTCAGCTGAGGTCATCTCAGCACTTCGTTCACTAAAAGGTTGATCCTGGCTTCTGTTTTTAGGTGCTAGTGTTTTACTTTTCTATTTGTAATAATAGAAAAAAAAAGAACATTAGAGTATTCCAGTTGGTTTGAGAGGTTGTGCAGCTACACTGAAAGTGGAAGAACCAGCAGGGAACAACCAACTCATTTGCATCAAACGCAGAAAAGGTAGGAATAAATTGCCTGCTTCAGTGATTATGAAATCTTTTTAAGCACTTCAAACAAAGCACAATGGACGTGGGGCAAAGCTGGCAGGCTCCTCACTGCAGCTGTCAGATCCTGAAAATTAGGGAATCAAATGTTGACACTTAGAAGGCTCGATGGTTCAATTACAAGTGATCCTAGGTAAAGCCATGATATTTTTAGCTCTTTACACAATGCACTGTGCTGTTCAGTACAGGGCCCTAAGAGCCTAGACTTCTCCAAGGTTTCGGAATAGAATGGTATCATAGCTGTGCTCAGCAACAGTTGTTAATGTTTTTGAGAATGTGGTATAGATGGTCTCGTCCATTTCTTAGCAAGTGTGTGTGTGTTAATTTACATAAGGAGTTCAGCTCTCATACTGATGCCTACCATACCTAATTGCACCCTGGTAGAATGATAAAAAAGGAGGTTGATGTACTTTGGAAACAGCAAAGTCTTGGACTGTGGATCTTGTCACCTTTTCTCTATAAAGGTTGGTTCGATCTGCATCTACAAGAAACAGTTACCTGAGCCCTGAGCTACAGAGGCAGATTTTAAAGAAGTGATTAAGGAACTCACTGCTTGGCCGTGACGTGCTTTAAGTCGGGACCAGGAATAAAATATCCTGTAGGTTTACGATCCCTTCATTAAGGTTCTGTGTGCGGTTAAATTGCTGTCTGTCAAAGGCTCCTTAAATGTGGAACTGTGAGAGTAGATGGCAGTGAAGTTGTGAGAACAAAAGTAGCAACTCTGTAGGATTCTTACAGAAGCCAGGAGCTTTCTGTTGTAAGAAGCTCACCATCATTTAAGCCAAATCTATGCAGTGATTCAGACATAAAATATAGCTCCACAGAACTGAACGCTCTTTCAGCACCCACTGGCATGAATAAATCATCAGTTTTATTGATCTGTGCATTTTCAGTGATAACTGAAAATGATTTTTCATTAAAAATATTCTGATTGGTCCAGCTTCTTAGTAATGGATAGTAATAACCAGAAGCAAGCACTCCTGGGAGAGGAATCCTACTCAGTGCTAATGAAGAATTTTCCTGACTGGGCTGTCTAACGAGCAGGTTGTAGGATGCCTTCATTTCATTTGGTTGGGATGATAACAGTTGGGTCTGCGAGAAGCTTTCCCCTCTTCTATGTGAGTTATTAACCACATCCAACAGTGGTGGTACCAGCTCAGTTTTAAAGCCTCTTAAAAAGAGTTTTATTGAAAACATGTCACGATCAGGAACTTTTCTGAACTGAACGTTAATGCTTTGGACAGTCTGTATCCCATTAATTGGTCTAGTAAAAAAACCTAAAACATCTGCTCCTAAACTAAATTCTTAATAGAAACAAAAACAGCAAAGATTTTCTGCAGTTACTGTGGTTATGCAAATAATTTCATCAACGAAACTTTGAAACCTTTAGATTCTGTATTTCAGAAAGAAAAGTTTTTTTTTTTTTTTTTTCCAATTAATGCTTTATTTTCTGTAGTAATTTCTTGTGGAAAAGTATTTTGATTAATATAATGGAATTGATACAGTAATCCACAAAACAGCATTTTATAATGTTGACACAGAAATAAGCGATTAAGCTGGGATTTGTTCTTGGTAGAAAAGCTTATCCATTTTCTCCTTCAATGATAATCTTACACTAAGAACCTTGTCAAAATTTCACAGGGGGAGAAATTTGGTTTTCAGGAGACTAAAGGGAGGACTTAGGAGTAAGCATGAGAGGAGCTGGGCTTTGATCCCAGTCCAGCAACGCACTGAAGCACGGGGTCGGTGTGCTCGTGTTCCTTCCCGGGGAAGGGGGTGAGCAGTCAGCCTTGGGATGGCTCTGAAGAAGAGCGATGTGCCAACACTGGTGGGTTTTTCAGTATAAATGGAGCATAGTACAAGAAACCTGCCCAGGGATGCGAGCTACCTGCATGCTTTGGGACCTTATAAGAGATATTGAAGTCCTGCTTTCATTCACTCTGCTTCATGGTCTAGATTCCGTGCTTTTTATGTTACAGTCTCCCATAAAAATAGCTCAGTGGAAAAGCATAAACTTTCTTTGCTTTCATTTGGATCACTTTTATATCTCAGGGGGCTCTGGCTCGGCAAGCAAATGAGCCTACAGGCTTGTTTACTTTAACTGCTAAGTCAGTGCCAGCATTTGGTTCTTGTCCAGTCATTTAATCTTCGAAGCTTAAATAACTATTTGTGTTAGAGTGCTTGAGAAAGGAAAGCTTGCTGGTGGACATAGCCTTGAATGGTGCAGTGCTGTGAGCGCTGACGGATCCATGGGAACTCTGTAGGTTGAGCCTGCTGTTTGTGTGTAGGGAGCAGTTGGCCTTGGCTATGGGAAAATGCTGTTGGTAAAAAATGGATTCCTTTTGGGTAGTTAACTTGAAACTGATGTGGCTAGACAGTTTTTCTTCCTTCAGTTCTTTGTAGTGTTTAAAATACCTTTTGCAGAAGTAAAATCCAAACTTACATAGCATTTTAAAGAGATTGATTTTTGTTCATCTACATATAGATGGGAGCATGAGATGCACCAAGCTTCAGAAGCCGTGCTTACAGAAATGAAGGCACTGGGATTTTTGCAAGAGGTTTATTTATAGTTTTCGGAAATCTACAGCATGATTCTCAACTTCTAGAGTGGAGAAACCGAGTTGTGCCAGAAGATCCCAACCAGCTGCTGATTTAACTGGAGTTAAGCCTAACAGCTCCAGCTCTGAATTTGGCTCTGCATCTAAGGAAGGCTTCAGTTAGTGAGATTTTCAGGGGCTAATCTGTGCTGCGTTTGGAGAAGGTGAATTCTTTTGAAACTAGTGCCAAACTGTTGATTGATTTCTACAGATACGGTCATTTTGCTGCTGCTCTTTATACCATTCCACCTCATTTGTGGCAAAAAAAAAATCATGAAAACTTGTTAGCTTTTAGAAAGTCAGAGATTGTGATGAAAGATAGGCATGTATCTCCTGAAGGGAATAGATCTCACTGGACACTGAGCAGCTTGTTTGCTTCGGATGAGATTTTTATTATACAGTCTTCCCTAATAACGGGGCATCGGTGGAATGAGGTTTTAATCAACCAAATCCTTTGACTTCCATTGTAAAATACATTATGCTTTGAATATTGAATATGCAAATACTCTACCTCCCACTCAAGCTATTTTCAAGACCTTAAAAGTAGTTTTAGAAGTGAAGAGAATCGTAGTTTGCTTTTCATCCTGGGGTAAACTGACAGAAGCTAGTTCAGATTTGATTGGTGTGTGTGGTCACACACAATGCATTTCACCCTTTACAAATGCACTTCACTGTATTCCACTGATCAGATGAAACCTCTCTGGATCAACTCCATCCAGACAGAGCACTGCGTCTCTTAAATAATTGGAGAGATGCTATTTATACTCCATGATGTCTTGAAAATCACAGAATACTTGGTGTTATCTAAGCAATACCAAAAGGAAATGAGTCTTTTCTGTTAGCTAGGTGGGTATATGTGAATTTGCTATGACAAACAATTCGTTCTGGTAATATTACACTAAGTGTGCCAATAATATAACAATGACAGTCCGACTGTAAGAGGGCTGCCTCTGCTGCACTGTGCTGTGGATTAGGTGACCTTGTCTGTCCTTGTCCTAGGTAGCACACACAATGTAAGATGGTATTCTAAACCACACATAGTCCGATCTGCATAGAGCACATTGAGTAATTTGTGGGTTTGTTCTTTCACCAAAAACGTTTATAGCTTTTGGCTTTAAAAATAGTTGTGGAGCATAGCAAGAGAGAAGCAGCTTTGGCCTAGATATTGCACAGGATGGCAGATGAACAGGGTTGATTTCATTTTGGGCACTTTGCCCAGGAGACTTTTTATAGAACATACAGTTACTCTGGGGGTTCTTAGGCTGTGGTCGCACTGGTTTTTTGGATCCCTTCTTTAGAAGGGAAAGTGGCATCATTTTGCAAAAAGAAAAAAAAAATTATCTTAAAATCAAAGTTCTGTTATGTTTGAGCTTTAAAGGTGAGGTGGTGGGGCTCCCATTTCTTCCTGATCCTGTCATCTGTTCGCTCTGCACATGCTGGACGCTCCTGTGAGGAACACTCTGAAGCCTGTTCATGCTGCATCCACTCTAATAAATTTTGTTTTCCATCGTTGGATCTGAGTGCATTTCAGAGCTGTGACTGGCAGCTCCAGGAGCTCTGCCTGTTCGACAGATGGAAAACATTCAGACAAAGAAAAACATGACATGTTTGTTTCAGCACCTGGTTTTTCATCTTGCAAATGGAGCACACATGCATTCCGGTGTAATTTAGCTGTAAGGATGTGAATTATTTTGCTTAGTCTTTATTTATGAAGCTAAACATTAGTTATTAGTTATAAAATAGTCTTTATTTATAAACTATAAATTCCCCAATTCGTCCAGATTTGGGTGCAACATATCACATTTCTCTGCTTCTATGCAAGGGCTCTTATTTTCCTGCTTTTGAAACTTTAACCAGCGATATCATTTAGTCCTGAAGGAGTCAAGGAAAGAGAACATCAAATTTCAGCTATTGAGGACTAGCAGTTAAAAAGCAGGATCATCTTTTTCCATGTCGTGTTCCCTTCTGCTTTCTTACCATGTTTTTGGTGTGCTGTGCTGTTTGGGGTTAGGCACTGCTGCTCTGCTGCTCTGCTAACATGCAAATTCTTATCACATTAACTTTATTATCCGTGATTCTCAGAACATTAGTTCAGTAATTAGTTTTCCAGCTGTCAAACAGTGGTGAGTAGAACTGAAGGGTCTTTCTATGGCAAATGGTTGAGCTGGGATAAAGCAATGGAGATGGATTCCTTATCTCACACAGCAAACAAACGCTGCTGGAAGTAAATAGACTCTAGGAATCCTTGATTCCAGTCCTCTGTTCTTAACCTTCAGCATGCAATCCAAATAGGATAATTCTATTTTATAGAGGATCAGTCTGTGATGGGACCCTGCCCTTTTTCACTTGAACAGTAGATAGTTCTGTTCTCTCTCATTGCAGCTTAAGCACTATGTCAATAAGCTCCGGAGCAAGAACACAGTATATAAAAGGAAGCGACTGGAAGTAGCAGAAATTACAGCTGAGTGTGGCATCCTCCAGCGGACAGAAGAGCTCCTGAAGCAGCGGCACGAGGCCATCCAGCAGCAGCTGGTAATGCAGGCGCTTACTACTCCTACAGTCCACCACTCTTCCTTCCTTTCCAACTTGCTCTGTAATAAGGTGGATGCTGTTTGGTTATTTTCTAATGCATACCATCCTACTGTCATTAGTAAAAGAGTCGTTAGGGAACCAAATCTGTATGATACGCTAAGCTGCTTCATGTTCAGCAACTGTTTTTTACAGGGAGTCATGAATGTTCTGCAATTTCTTTTCAGAATGAGGGACTCAACCCTGCTTTCCAAAGTCAGTGTTGGATCTTCACTAACTCCAGTTAGAGCAGGGCTGCATTCTTATGTTAGGTTTTCCACCTGATATCAAAAGCACCCTTTTTAGCCCTGGGCATTACAGCCTGTCAGACTGTATGCTGCTGCAAACATCTGCAAAATGCTCTCATCATAGTAGCAGCAGCTCCTTGCAGACACAAATGTTTTCCTAAACATATGCTTGTAGAAGATTTTTGAGGATAACTGACTTTGGTGTTCATGGACAGATGATACTTTAAAGAATGAGTGTTCTGCAAATTGCAGATCAGCACCTAGCTTCCAGCTTACTGAAAAAATACCCTCCTTCCATACTTAATGAGCAAGCATTGCTAAGGACTATCACATCAGCACTTAATGTAAATTTTATGTAATTTAATGCAAGAATGTTGTAATCTGGCACTAACATTGCTATAATTAATACAGTATTTCTTTAGTTTAGCTTGACAGTTGTTTATAAAAAATCAGCTACTTTGCATCTTTTGATTAAGCATTTGGATTTCGCATATTGAGCTCCTTCACAGCCTGACCTAAACCCATTTCACATCGTGGAAACCTCCTGTTAATTTCATTGGGCGTGAGATGACAGAGCAGTGATGTATGACAGGAAGTTGTTGCTAGCTTGCTGTGCAGGCACAAGAGGAAAAGTTTGTTGTGGCAGCTACGTTACTAATCGCTTTTAAAATAAATGGATTACAGTACTTTCCACTTTTTTACAGTATTTCATCTTTATGAAGTAATTTGTGCAATTAATGGACTCACATTCAGCATTTATTTTGTGTCTGCAGCAAGCTATTGAAGACAAGAAAGGTATTTCTGGATATAGTTACACTCAGGAGGAGCTGGAAAGAGTATCTGCAGTGAAGAGCGAAGTGGATGGAATGAAAGGCCAAACCTTAGACAACATGTCTGAAATGGTGATGTTTGTCTCTAGCTGTTGTATTGCCTCAGATTCAATATCTGCTTCCTCAGATAGGAATTTGAATATTGAATATTTTGGTTGGGTGTTTCACTTTTAATATATGTTTATATAGAAAAATAGGTACTTTCAAACAGTATAGATAACAAGTTTTGTCTATTGTCTATTTTGACTAATTTTGTCTGTTATTTGATTAGATATTTGACTCTTTTACAGCATCATTTTCTAAAGTGCATGTACATCACTGGAGTTAAGTATTCATTTAAAAATATTTCATTTGTCTGAAGAACTAAACGTTATTTCTTCTCTTTAGCCTCATTTTCAGTTGTCCTCAGATCTGTAGTATTTTAATTTACTGCGTAGCCATAGAAGCAAAATATTATAAAGGAGCCAAAAGCCAAATAGCATTCTTTAAAATCATTAGGGCACTTTAAAAATAAAGTGGTAGAATCAAAACAGAACGAATCTCAAATGGAAAGCTGGGCAGAATGTGAGTTTTCAGTATAAATATTTTGAAGCGATTCTGTTTTAGCAAGTTCAAACTCTATTTCACCTATGCAGGGATTTTTTTGGTTGGTTCATTTATTCAAAGATCTTTTCTGTCAGTCCAGCTCTGTGCAGCTCCTTTGTTTTCCCCTCTCCTGAAGCCATTCAGGCATCTGGCACGTGGGTCTGCTGCTCTTGTCTGTGGTGTTCTGTTAAACAATAGGAACAGAAGTGGTCTGGTTTGTGGTCATGATTTCAGTGCAACAAGGGCTCTTTCCCTTTGTTAATTAGTTCTGCACTAATGTTATATATACTTCAGTCTTCTTTTGTCACACAGTTGTTTTTTTTCCTCTCCGTATTTTTGTCTTCATCCCTTTTCACCTCTTTTCATGATCCTAATAATATAAACTATTAATGCATATCATCAGTGTGTAACATTTTGTCCCTCTTTCAGGTAAAGAAACTGAACGCTATGGTGGCAGAGAAGAAGTCGAGCCTCGCTCCTGTCATCAAGGAGCTGAGACAGCTGCGTCAGAAGTGCCAGGTTGGTAGAAACACTTCAGAAGGCTTTGAGCAGTGCTTGTGGATGAAACAGGGTAGGCAGCAGGCAGACGTTGGGGGGCAGTCCTATGTTTTGCTCTGCACATTTCTCCATGCAGTCAAGTGCTACAGTTAGAGCAGGAGCTTACTGTCCCTATAGATCTGTATATCCATACACATTGCCACTGAGTTATTTGTACCTTTGTGGCTGAGGTGTACAAGGCAGGAACTCAGACAATGCAGAAATGCACGTTAAAATATGGTTAGTTTAAGTTTGTTTTCATTTACCAGACACCTGAATGCTTCAAATACCACAAATCTCCACGGTCTCATCAACTCTAATTGCATTCTATGTTTTGTGTTGTATTTTTTTTTGGTCTTGAAGTAGGTTTATTTTAATGCATTAAACTTTCCTCTCGTTCTTCAAAATTAAGGTCAAATTCACAAATGAGCATAATTCACAGAGCTCTGCAGTGCTGTGTAGGGATGTAATCAACTCTGGAGGAAAGCTGGAAATAGCAGACTAAGTCAGGAATGATGTTCAACAAGCAACAAGTAAAAGACTGGAATTTCTAAAAGCTGTATCACACTGAAATTTTGTCCTTTATAGTAATTAAAAATCAAAACAAAGAAGACCTATAATAAATAATAAAGATCATGGTTCAAAATCACAGCAAAGTTAACTTTCAAATTAGTTTCGAAGCTTTTTGTGCTTCTCAGCTCTAGTGATCTCAAATAACTCTTTTTTAAAATAGATCAGAAATAAATTTCATCCCTGTGGATGTGCACATTGATCTGAGTCCTATATTAGTCTGTTGGAATGACAGATTTATCCATCTGTTTTCAAAATTTTACAGACAGCTGAAGAAGTCATTCAGGTCCACAGCTGCTGTAAGTTGGCTCACTGACACAGAAGTAAATTGAGCTACCCCTTTATCTATCAACTAAATTTCCAGAAAACTTATTTTTAATGGTTCTATTTAAAGTGTCAGCGAGTGAAATCCAGCTAAGCCATTTGTTGCATACAACTAAAAAGCAAAGCTGTTTTTTCGTAGGTAGCAAGCGTATTAATCCCTTCTTAATCTCCATCTTTGTAATTATTTTTCATTTTTCTTGCAAGCGCTGCCCCAATGATCCACCATGTTAAGGCTGTGGCTGTAAAGAGGAAATCTGCACGCTATGTTGTGATGTACGCAGCCTGGTCACCACTATGCAGCCTTACTGTGTGTGTGTAACAGTACCCACGTGCCTGCTGGGTTTACATAAGTCTCAGGGAGCGTGCCAGTAGCTGAGGTTGATGTGTGAGACCAAGAGCCTGCTTGAATGTCACATGTCAGTCAACTGAAGATTTCATTTATGTACCCTTCTGCCCTTCTCCTATAAGGAATTAACACAAGAATGTGATGAAAAAAAGATCCAGTACGACAGTTGTGCAGCAGGGTTAGAGAGCAATCGCTCCGCACTGGAACAGGTAAGATGGTGGCTTGGTCACAAGGTTAATAAGTGCCGTGCGACGTGTTACTCACTACGGTTCAGTACTTCCCCTGCCTTCCCTCTGGATATGGCAGCTCTAGGTTCACTTCAGGTGGCAGTGAGTCAGTGGTGATCCGCAGCTATGCAAACCATGCCAGAAGCTGCTGTGCACTGACTGCGGTCCCACGCGCTTCCTGTTCTGAACAGCAGCAATGAACTCAGTGCTCCATCAGACCGTCCGCTCAAGTCCAGCACTGAGTAGCAGGAGTAAAAGAGGAGGCATCTGCCAGAAACCCTGCTGACCCGAGTATTTGTTAGGAAAGAATTTCACAATAAGATGTTAAGGATTAATTTATCAAGACAAATCTCCATGTCCATTTAGCATACTCTTTAATTTAGCAAAACCAATCCAATGGCTAATTAGTGCACTAAACTGATGGCAAGGATTTTTCATTAGATGTGACTCATCATACATTCCTGAAAATTATGGACAAAAATAAAACCTTTTTTTAAAGAAGTAATTACAGCAATGTAGATATATCTAGGAGCTTGCCTGTATGTAGCTGACATATTGCTTGAACTGCAGCACTTTTGGGAAGGGAGGTACTTAAACCAGTTCAATATTCTGATGTGGGAACAGCATTAACACATATAAAATATGAATCTGTGGATTGTCTTCTATGAACTTTGTCTGGATTTGGTTTTTCAAGGGCTTGCCAGCATAAGGAATTTATTTCAAACTAAAAACAGAGTACACTCAAAGTGTAGGTGGATGTATAGGTACTCTTTCTCTGCACTGAATGTACCTCTGTATGGCTTAATCCAAGTGAAATAAAGAACTCCACAGACAAACCTATTTGAAGTAGACCTTCCAGAAGGACTGTTCTTCAATAGCCAAAATTCTAAAAACACATAAGCAATGAACAACTCAGAGTTATGCTTTTTTGTGTTACGGACTCTTATGGTTTGTATGGCAGCATGAATGGATTTCAGTAAGAACATCCACTGAAATCTGATTCTTGTACTACAGGAAGTGAAGGGACTTCTCGAGGAGAGCACTCAGGAAGAAAGCAACTACCACTATGTGAACTGCATGAAGAAAGTAAGGTCACAGGAGGGACTAAATCATTCTGCAAAATGAAATAGGAATTATGTATTTCTTAAAACATTTGTTATCTTTCGTTACAGAATCTAGAAATACAGCTGCAACGTGTGAAAGAAGAAATGAAGATATATGTCTCCTCAGATCCACAGGAGAGACGAAAGGCAATTCGGTAACCACGTTAGTGTGTTCCTTTTGTGTTAAGCTGAAGGATATTCAGAATCTGAGATTGAAGTTAGGAATTTTCTCACTGGCATTTGAACTGGAGGAGTTCACCTGATATATTTAGAAACACTATAATAATCTAAAAATAAGCATCTTGAATTCCAGTATATGCTGCTGTAAACCTATGAGTTCTCTCAGACATACCAGAAGATTTTCCCCTCCTGCTGGAGATTATAGGCCCCAGATAGTGGCTTTAACTTGCAGCTCCTGTTGGCACAAGGTCAGAGAAGCCATGCTTCAGCTAGGTCCCACGGGAAGCATGGCTCTACCATAATGCCTCTGCCAAGTTTGCCCTGAGATTCCAGCTTGTGGAAGATATTCCACCTCTCGAAGAGAGCAACCACACACTGCCATCAGATTCTGGCAACTCCTTGCCGATCTGCTGTTCCTTCAGGTGCAGTAGCTGGACCATCACTAGTCCAGAAATGGAGGACTGCATATACACACCCTAACTGGTTTTGCTTTGCTCCTTTTTGTGGTTTCTGTGCCATAACAGTAATTTTCATCTTTATTCTTCATTTAATTGACAGGACAGTTGCATCAAAGTGAGAGATTTTTCAAGACCCTTTGTCTTTGTCTGGTACTACTGTATGAAGGAGTCTCTAGAGAATCCCATTTTTAGTTCATTGCAGAGGGGGAATCAGCTCTGCCCTGTACCTCTCTGTTTCACCCCCTGCATCAGTGAGCATTCCTGTGGTTGACTCTATTGCAAGGACTTCAAAATCCATAGCAGTATTGATCTTTGTGAGGCCTTTTCTTAGGTTTCTGCCTTTGTATTTCAGAGACATGACAGGTTGCTACTTGAGATCTGTATAAGCTGTCACGTTAGAACTGTGGTTCATGTATATTGTTTGTTACAACGTGCCAAAATGTCTCACAAAACTGTTCCATTCAGAAAACAGTTCAAAAACATGACTGAACAGCACAGCAAAGACAAAACTTAGACTAATAATTCTGCATTTTGTTATAATGCTTCAGACCATTTGTTAAGTAGATGTCACAAGAAGAAAGCCTAAAGTTCTCTATCATTTCTCAAAGAAGATTGTAGAAGTTAATTTCCCAAGTTGTCCTGTTAAGCCTCTGCGTTTCAGAATAATTTCTGGTCAGTTCTGTTGCAGTGGTGGCAACTAGGGAAGCAATCCTCAGTGGGTAATCAGCATAGCATCCCAAGATTGTTTGGGTTGTTTTGTTCCAACCCCTCTACTGGGGATATACCTCCCACCAGGTCAGGCTGCCCAGAGCCCCATCCAAATAGGCAGATATCATCCAGCATCACCTGAGGCAATTTCTTCACTGGGAAGTGGACTGAAAAAGATTTCTCTAACAAAAACGGGCAACAAGGGAACAAGTAGAAGTGTCAAAAGAGAAGTAGTTGTGAGGAGAAAGCTCAGTGATGATGCGAATATTCATTAGTATGAAAGGCAGCGGGGCAAGCAGCTGAGAGGAAACAGGGGTCAGACAGCAGGCACTGTCCTTTTATGGCTCTGCGGGGAAGGGGAGGATCTCGGTTTATTCACAAATGTTCAGCAAAAAACGCTCCAGCTCAAACACTTGTGACAAGAACATCCACACTGCCCGTGTTCACACAGACAGCCTCTGAATGCAAGTGCTGGAATTTAGGGTGAGTCCAGCTATGTCATTCCAGGTATGGTGAGGAGAATGTGAGCGAGCATTACCACTCTCTCTGCTGTCCCTGCTTTGCTTGCTAATGGTGGGCACAGAAGCTAGAGAAATTCTCCCTCTCGCAGTGACTATACACATTTCTGACCTTGTGTGAGAGGTTGCAGACCAGCTGCATTTAAATGAATTGCGACAAAGCTCAGTATAGGGATCTTCACCAAAAAAAAAAAAGATTAAAAAAACCCAAACATGTTTTTAGACATCATTTTAGAACGTGAATGTATTTTTCAGCAGGCGCTGGAATGTAAACGGAGTGAAAATGAACCATAAATAGAGCAGCACTTTCCTAACAACGTATTGAACAAAAAATGTCTTAATTCCAACCCTCTTTTTTTGAACATAAACTCCCTGTTCCGTGGAGTCAGATCTTAGGAATGTGAAAAGTTAATTTTCTTCTCTAAAAATAGAATATTTTTTTTTAAATGAAGTTATCAAGTTGCATTCTTTCCAGTCATCATTATAAATAGTAAAGAAAGGCTTACTACAAAAGACATCTAATTTTATTACTTTGAAAATTCTATTATACAAAAAAATATTTTTAAGGCCAAATGTGTGTGAACATATGCTGTGTGCCAGTGGAAATAAGAGTCGGTGTTGTTCTGTCTCTCCAGTTTGAGGATTGCTAGGGATCAGCTGTGTCTGCGCAGCGCTTGGAGCACTCAAGACTGCTCTGATTTGTTCTGGCTGGAATTGTCCAAGAGTGACAGATCATAAAATGATCCAGCTGCATTCCTTGCACATCCATTCTGTGGGGAGCATGGCAGGCAGGACCAGGTGGCCTGGAGCCCAAGTGCTCTGGTCAAAATTGTGGAGGGCCTCATGGAAATGGAAGGAATATAAGAAGCGTTGGTTCTGTGCTGCCCCTCACTGCGCTCCAGCAAACTTCACGCTCTGATTTTAGGAAGGCTGATATTTCTTTTTGGGAGTTAAAATTTCTCTATGCAAAGTTCTTCTGTTCTGAGCGATTTGAAAAGTTCCTGATATGATCCGAGTTATTTTATATTCCGTAATCAAACTCTGAACTTCTAACTGTACCATTACACTCAAAATATGAGCATTTACTTTTTTTCAAGTAAATTGGTGAAGAAAGAGATTTTTGTCCATTTTAGAAATAAGTTTTAATGCGTCCGAACTGTGCTTTGTAATTTTATATTGTCAGGTTTCAAGTTTGAGTCTGCCTGTGTCAGAAAGCGATCCGGCCACTGTTGCAGACAAAGGTGTACAGCCAAGATTTTTTATAATGAATGTCAACAGTTAACGCTCCTGCACCTATATTTAGGCACCCAAATGTGACGGCTGCTTTCTGAAAGCGAGGGACGCACGGCGGTTCCTTTGCAGACTGGATTTGAAATACTATTCTTTCTCATTCCTGTGTTTTCCCACTCATTCTAACGCTACATTTGCAGCGTTTAAGGGCTGTGTGTTTGTAAACTTTGATGCTTGTAGAAAGTAGGCTCCTGGCGAAGTTCAGAATACGAGCATCTAAAACTTCTTGCTGTTGCCTTCAACTTTGATGCAGCAATAATTACGCCTGCTTCAGAAATGCAAGAGATCTTATCCAGTATTGCCTCTGCCAACTGCACGCCTGAGAGAATCAGAGTGATCTGATCCCTGCTGTCGTGGGATGTGTTGTCTAACGACAGAAATGTTTCTTTGGGTTTCCTCTTCTGACTTACCTCATTTATGAGCCTCCTGATACGTTCAGAGTTTTTTTTTTTGCTTTAATCATTATTCTGACGTACTATAAAGAAACCGACAGAATTCATAATAAAATTGTTATATATTTCCTTTAGAGAACAGTATACACGGATGATCCTTGAACAAGAAAGCCTTGGGAAGGTAAGAATGAGGTTTTTACCTTTAAAAAAGATTTAAAAATGAAAAAATTGCAGCATTCATATTTTTGTGGAGCTTACTATTGAAGGCTGTGGTCAGTCCTTTATAAAAAGCCTATTGCAGCCTACAAAGAAAATTCCATTACTGCTGGCAATGGTAATTAATACCCTGAGAAGAGATCATGCTAGCTCTTCGGGGCTTGATTTCCTGCAGAGTATAGCATGAGCCGCTTGTAAAAGATAGTCAACCAGCTCAACGTGACAGCACATTCCCAGTAAACCATTTGGATAAGAAACTGAAACATGGACACGACAAACTGTGCCAGCTCAAATTTGATGTTGTATATAAAGCAACCTGTTGATGACAATAAATTTTGGGCCTGTCAGCCTTATCGCTGTTATTAAAGGCCAAGGGATCATCATTGTACCAGCGCTAAACAAAAGCAGTTGTCCACTTCTGAATCTTGCACAAAGCTCAGACCAGCACAGAAGGGGTCGGATGTACCATTCACACTTAACATCTTTCTTTTATTGGTTTCCTTTTTATGAGTCAGTGTGAGTGATTTTTACAGGCCTGAGCTGTTGCTATTATGATCAATAGCGAGTTTCATTGTAAAACATTAATGTGGTGTTTATAAGATGATCATATGAACGCATTGCAGGCTGCTGCTTGAGACTGGAAGAGCTCAGTATGGAAGTAAACTCAGATTTTAGCATAACTTCTCAAATATACGAGACGGTTTTAAAACTTTGGAGCAGTTGTTTGTCCATGCAAAGCAGACGCCTAAATTCCCACTGCTGATTCATTTATCACTTGCAAGGAGTGTTACTAACCTGAACAAAATGTAATAATAATATTTCAGTAGCTTGTAACATTCCTTACCATTCTTTTGTCATTCCGTTGCCTGTGTAAGCAATTTTTGGACATAACCTGTTTCAGCAATGGAATATTTTTTGTTTTTTAACAGAAATTACGAGAGAAGCAGAAGGTTGTACGGGAAAGTCATGGGCCCAATATGAAGCAAATTAAAATGTGGCAGGATTTTGAGCAGTTAATGGAATGTAAGAGAGAATGTTTTGTGAAACAACAAAATCAAACAGCTATTGGTCAAGTCATCCAGGAAGCAGGTAAAGATAGGCTTGTACTATGAACTCTTCCTTCTTTATACTGACATCAAGTAAGAAGACTGTGGGTTGGCTTCTCAAAGGTAATCTCTTTGTTGCTTTCATCATTTCTATTTAAATTTGATGTACATTATCTGTTTCTGATGGATAAAGTGCACCTAAACTTGAAGTTGTTCGTCCATTGTTTAAGTGACAACAAAACATAGTCAGGAAGATCTGTTATGAGATCTGTGCTGGGGTGAACCTCATCATAAATCTTTGTTTTAGAAGTCTGGGAATGGCATGCATCTGCAGAGAGATCAAAGGAAAACAAATCCTTTTCCAGGGTCACAGAAAACTTATGTAATTGCTCTGCTCCTTATTCCGTATCACTATGGTTATATTTTTGCAAGGTCTGGTACTTGATATTGTATAATTGTAGACCTCTTGGCTCGGCCATCTCCTTCCCCATTGTCTTTATTCATGTAGTGTGACTGGCAAGAATGGAGCCATTTTCACTCTGAGCTGCACAGAGCTTGCTTGCACACTCCTACTCATACTTTCTTTGCATGGTTCAATTGAAGTGATTGTGCTTCCAGGAGACAGTTCATTGCACTAGCGTCACGACTTGGTTCTGAGAACAATTACTTGGATTCTGAGATCGTTCCATTATCTCTTGTTGTTTTAACAACTGTATGTTTCTTGCATATAGAAACATATACTTCTTTCTAATTTTTCTTAGCTGTCTATGGGAAAGTGTTAACTGTGGTCCACTAAAACCTTTCTCTACTGAAGATACATTGCTGTTCTGCCTGTGCAGTATGGTTCCAAAGTGGTTGTGCCAGCCAAAGAGCGGCGTAGAGCAGGGATGGAGGGCTACTGGTGAATGTAAATAAGGCACGGTGTTTCCTCCGTATGGTGGGGTATGCAGAGCAGATATGCACGGCTCCTTTATATTCAGGCTTTGACCTGTGGGCCACAAGCAACTGTAAAAATTGCATCACGAGACCCGCAGCTAACCCAGGGTAAGAGGAATGCAGATGAGGCTTGAAACTCTCCGTCACGCTTCATCATTTCTGATGAGCGCCTCTTTGTCACAATCAAAAGACCAGAAGCAGAGAGATAAGTCTGGGTGACGAGAGCTCCTGCTGTTCTTCTGGAGCCTCTTGGCTTATTGAATTTTTTTATTTTTCCTGCCTAAATAAAAATGAATTTTTTTCAGTAGTAGTTTTTTTTTTTTTTTTTTTTTAATCAGGTGTAATTTGGACACAAGAAATGATTTAGCCTTCTCTGACACCTAATTAAGAGATCTGCTATTTTCTCTGTCAAAGGAGGGTTTGGTAACTGTATAATTCCTAGTTTGTCTTTACATTAAGTATATTTGCTAACAAAGCTTGAATAAAATCCAATGACTACATTTTGACTGAATGTTATTTTCTATATTTCATAGGTTTAAGAAGTAATAAAAGTAAATTCTTACTGACAAGTTTCTGGCTGGGCCACAGGAGAATGGTTTGAAAAGCTTAGGGTCATTGAATTACATTTATTCCAGATGCCCCCAAAAGGTTCTGAACCCACTGTACGCCTAAGGAGCGTGTCCAGAGATACTCAGGACATCCTCATACAAGCCCTCCCACACTGCTGAATAGCTGAAGATAGTTTTTCTCAACAGCTGCACGTTGATCTTTCCCAGGACGAGGAGAAGCAGCACATTCTCCACTACGCACACTGTCAGTGAGCATGGAGGGAAGGATGTTGTGTGGGACACTGGCAGTGAAGTGTGGAGAAGGGGCTGCATTGCCACCAGCAGCCTTTTCCCTGGGCGTTTAGGTTACGCAGTGATCAGAGCTGGAGGACTGCCTCCGGTTCAAAGGCAGCAGCACAGGGAGAAGGGGCATCTCATATACTTCAACATTTTGTAACAAATCCCTAAAAACCCTATTTGACCAGGCCATTTATACAAAGATTTATTGCAGCCGTTAGTCTGCTGCCCAGGGAAAAGCAATGCTTTTGAAATTCATAGCAATGATGTCGAGTAAGACTGAGTGTAACCATTTTCCGTTCTTGTGTTCAGTTACCCTAAAAATAGTTCATCTTTCTTCCTTGTAAAAACAGTTTATTGCTGGTTACTCAATGATGACGTGATTGTTGCTCTGATCTGATTAGCTCTCTGTCATTTGTACAGCACCGAGAAAGGGCACAGAGATTATACACTACAGCAGCAGCAAAATTACTTTCTGAGATGAAGCAGAAAATCATAATGGCTGTTATGAAAAGAAAATTGGAAAAACTCAAATGCTATTTTTAACTTTTATATAAGTGGACATTTAATAAATGCCCCTTAATGGTTTCTGCTCACCGGCTTTTCCACGTGGTTTGTGAGTTGAAGGGAGCATTCAAAAATCTTCGACTGAGTTTTGCAGTTTTACTTCCTAAATTGTAAGGAAAAGCTTATTCCTAATATATATATTTATGTAATATAACTTTATTACTGTAAGCTAGCTAGTCAATAAGATTAAACATACTATATGGAAAAATAGCTGCCCTCTCTTGGCAAAGGCCCAAATAAAAAAAATGGGCATAGCTAAATGTGGGCTCTCTGCACTTACCAAATTTCCTCCCGTTGGAACGCTGATCGGAGCAGTCCCTCACCAGCGACTGATGACTTTGCTTCACAAGGGTTCTCCTCATCTTTATCCAGAACTGGATGAGAAGGTTTTCCAGTGGCATTGTGCAGCTTTGCGTTATTTACTCCTATTAACACCAACTGTCCCTGGAGCCACAGGAAAGCTCCACATGGGCCTAGGAGATGAAATAGTTATAGACATCAGAAATGGGCTCGAGAGAGCAGTATGTCTACTGTGTTACATACAGAGCCATTTTATCATCTGAATATGGGATTATTTATACCACCATGTAGCTTCCATATGAACTACAGAAAGTAAGTGTTCCTATACTTTAAGTGACCCGGATCTGGGAATACTTATTTGTACACCTTTACTCACACACAGGTATTATGACTTTTGTAGTATAGTTGCCAACAAACATAGAAGTCCTGCTACTGTATTTTACTGTGTTTAAATATACAGATTTCCAGAGCTTTCTTGATAAGGCTATTTTACAGGCATGATATTGATCTCTGTTACAAAATACAATACAGCAAGAGTGTTTAACAACAGTTCAGAGCTTAGACAACGTGCTTACGATGGGCATTTTCTGATCAATAAGAATGAATGAAGTAGCCAACAAGCAACACAAGCACTGTTCTCCAAAATGACTTGCTGGTTCAGGAGCTGGAAGCGGAGAGCTTTTTCTCTTTACATCACTATTTCATGTCTGGCCCGGATCAACAGTGACTCCAAGCTCACCGTGAGCTACCTGGCCGCTGTCCTCAGCAAGAGATGGAAGCAGAGCCATTTGGCAGGAGCGCTCTGAATTCCTAAATCACCACTCTGGCAGCGTCTGGTGAGCCTGGAGTCAGCTTCCACAAGAAGGCAGGCAAACATGACTGGAAGACAGCAGAGACTGAGTGCTGTTATCCAAAGGTGTCACCTTGGGAGAAAGGCCGTAACACGCTGACAGCGCAGTGTGGGAAACTCGCTCCATCACCTTGCTCAGGGATGAGGACCACATGGATGCACGCAGGTCTGCTTTCTCTCGTTGGTGCTGCATTTGCTCAGATGTAAGTGAAAAAGACAAAGAGCTCATTCTCAACATTTGCTCTACGTTACCTTTTGTAGCAGTAGGTTTTTGCTGATGGGATGCTGTTAACTCTTCGGCTGCCTTTCTCTATCGTAACCTGCAATGGAAACAATTCAAATTTGCAGGGACACAACAGTGTTGCAGCGAGGAAACTCCACGTGAATCACAAGGTTATCATAAGGTATCAACTTTATGGGCATCACCCAATTGATGAGTTGTTTTCTAACCGTCGTCATTTGACCCATTTTCAGATTGCTTAAAGAGTTCTTTAAATTTTCAGCATGAATTTAAAATAGGTTCTTTAAATTCTCAAGTGCTTCTGTACTGTTGATTCTTCAGAGGCAGTCTCAACTCCCAAGGCAGTCTGTTTCTTTGAAGGTCACTGGGTGAAAAGGGTATTTTTCACAATTGCATTACACTGCTTTTCATGCTCCCAATTTACAGTGGGGAAGTGCTGTCAGCCGTGTGCTGTGGGAATGTCAGACTCAGTGAGGAGCTGTGGTACTTGAGGCGGGGAGCAATCACACTCCAAGTAATCAGCAGGAACTGTGAGACAAATCCTGCAGTCCATACACTCACAAAACCCTCACTGACTTCAGTGGGAGTTTTGCCAAAATAAGGTCTGCTGGATTTAGCTCTTCCTCCTGATGGAACAAGTGGAAATTAAAGGGCCAGGATCAGATTTGTGTGACAGAGAGAAAAAGAAGAACCATAATTATCTTAAAATTAACAACTTTTGCCCGAAGCAAATCAATGTTCCATTAGAAGCATTTAATTTACAACAAGAATCAAGTGTTTGTGTGAGTGCTTCTCAGCACTACCAAAATCCACTACGCTTTGGTTTTTATTAGACATCAGTGAGAGGCTGCCTTGCTCAATCTCGTGTTGGAGTATTTATAACATTTAATATATCACATCACACATTACCTTGTATTTAACAACATTATTTACATTTGTTAGAAGGATAAGAAGTGTATTTTAACCTTTTTATCATATCTCCATTCCACATCATTTTCAGACAAGTGCATTTCTGCAAATCAGGACACGCCGCCGGCATTTGCTAACTGCCAGGAGCTGGAGTTCTTTTCCTGCAGGTGCTTCTACAAAAGCCGACGTTATTGCTCTGCTTCAGCCCTCTCTATCATTACAGAATGACATTTCATTTTTAAGCTTCTCAATTTTATTCCAGTAGGTGCTTCATTAGGTTAACTTTTGAAACAGGAGAAAGCCAAATGCCGCACATTTTGCTAATACCAGAAAAAATGAAGTTGGTAGGAGCATGGAAAATGGGACCTGACTCCTTTTCAGAGGTAAATTCTTTGTCCTGCTTCTTCCTCATTCTCCTTATTCCTGCTTCTTTCCCCTGGAATGGAATAGAAAATATGCCTGGCAACTTAGGAAACAACAAAAAAAGAATAAAGGTATGCATCTTATACAAACAGTGACCACTTCAGGGAAATAATAGAGGACTTAATCTCATCATATCTTCCTGATCAATTTTACAGCTGTTTCATACTGAAAAAAAATCTCGGTTCAGGTTTTCTGCAATTAAAATTTTGAATGCAATTTTATAAAAGGATTCCTGTTTTTTGGAATACCAGTCAAAACTTTAAGGGCTGTACGACGTGAAGGATGCAGTTTAGTTGGTTGACACTGTTATGGTACCTTCTGGCAAATAAGCTAAAGCTTGGGCATTTCTCTGGAGTCAGCACATCAATCTCAGAGCCATTAATGACAAATTACCAAAAGCACAAAGTGATTTTTTTAATTTGGAACCCTATCAGTTGAATATCTAAAAATTATGCATCGTGTGGAAATGTTGCATTTGCATCTCAACCATCTCGATGATGTGTTTCTCCAAGGCAGCATCCTGTGGACTGCAACATTCAGAAACCTGGAATTCTTTTAGAGTATTTATAAAATGCTGTACCCATCTCCCTTATTCTATGTTTTGAAGCTTGCCGTGTTTTCAGAGCATATTTTAAAGAAAACAGAACTGTATCAGAACACTGAAAGTCACCCACAGACAGCCTGTTTCACTGATGCTTTACATTTGCACCGCATCTTCTGTCCTAAAGGATTTCTCTGCTTCATTTCCATTCTATGTAGGCTGATGAGACTGCTCAGGTATCTGCAGGAGTGAGTCAGGGAACACTGGGAGATGTGCTTCACGTTCAGAGGTTAGTAAGGAACACGGAGCGTTTGTTATTTCGTGGGTGCTGACATCGCCATCTCAAATCTCCTTAAGGAAAATAACTTTGCAGCTGAAAACAAGAGTACAACCTGCATGCTTTCAGTGAAGAGCTGGAGCATGCTGTGCTTCACCATGGGTCGTTATTGCTTGCTATTCCTTTCGTGTTTTGCATTTACCACACTGTACTTCAAACATTTGCATGTGAAATGCATCACTTTAAAATCTGTGGATACTGAAGGTTCTTCCTGATTGTTGATGTAATTGAGTGAAATGAAGGTTGATCATAAAATGTAATGAGAGGGGAAGAGAGAACTCTTACGCTGGAAAAAGCACTATAAATATTTTCCTGAGATCATTAACACAGCCTTGTAACACTTTGCCTCGTGCAGCGGAAAGAATTATACCATCGTTTTATGAAGTTTCTAAAAAGTGTTTACAATTCCATCCTAAATATATATGGCTTTTTTTAAAGCGTGACAAACAAACAAAAAAACCCCGACAACCCGTAATTCTGAATGCTGTATTCAAAGTTATTTCCAACCTTTGAAGGGATTCACTTCCCAGGGGCTCGGCAGCGTCAAACAAATGTTCGACTTTTATTCTGACACTTCTTGAAGAATTTGATTGAAACTATATATGTCGAGATAACACCCAACAAAGTGCCCCTCTTGCGTTTGTTTCAAGATATTTTTGGAAGCAACAGAGACGACCTTGGATGGAGCTGCTTTTCCAATTTAGGACTTCATTTGGTCTAAGAGAGTAAAATTATACTCTTCAATCCCTTTGTGTGCCCACAAACAGAACAGTGTTGTTACTTTCTGCTATTGTAAAACTGTTTTTCTGTACCTTGTTAGCAGTGTCAATCCGTTGAGGATAAGAACTGTTTTAGGTAATCCACAGTTACGTTCAAACATACATATAAATAGTGCTCCAGTGTATCACATGTCCCTGGGAAACATTGTGCAATCTAAACGAACTGTGCTCCTTTATGTAATGCCTTTCTTTCTTTATAGCGAGTGTTAACAAATAAGCTTTGGCCTCTGTCTTTGCTTATAGACATCAAGAATCTGATTTCAAGCCAGAGCTCACACAGACTTGATGTAAAGTCTAAATGAGGAGAGTGGTAATGCTGGTGAATGCGCTGCGGTGGGGCTGCCACCTGTCTGGATGGCAGGAGAAATATTGTTTGTCAAGCTTCAAGTTTAAATCCAAGGTTAGGAGCCAGGTCCTCTGCACTTCTAGAGAGGGGGGATGGTTTTCTTTGGATTTAGGTTTGCCAGCTCTGCAATTGTGTCTGCAGAGTTTCATTACATCCAATCAATTGCGTTTTAAATAGTTTGCATTTAATTTTCTTTACAATCGATATATTTTAATTCATTTGTACTGCTGTCTGTCACAGGCATACTGCAGTCTGTAACAAAATGAAATAGTTTGTTGTGATTGTAATGCTGTGAATAGAAACAATTGACAGAGTTCAGTATTCTTGTCCTTTATCCTGTATAGTCCTATTTTCTGTTTAATGTTTACTGTCTAATATCTTTGTCCTGTGGTATCTAATGGGCAAATGCAAAGGATGAACAGAAACTAAATCTAGACATGCCGCTGTGGTCTGTTTGATAATAGTGGTATATGCAAATGCAGATGTAAGTGTGCCACTTAAGAGCATATTGTTTAAATACGTTTGATTGTGCTCCAAAATCAATACTTCTAGTTGTGTTTTACACTCGGTATCCTGATGGCTCACGTGTTAAATCTAGAACATGCAGTGCCTGATTTTATGGCATTGTCATGTACAGTAGCTGTGGGCAGCTGAAGGGAAGCAACTGTGAATAGATCCTGGGAATCAGCATGTATGTATGACTGTATATATTAGCATATCGTGTGCAGAAATCAAATTAAAATAAGCTATTTGGTGCAGCAATTTTCATGAGAATCTCAATTTATAAACAATGCTTAGTAAAATGTGTTGACCACACAGACAGATAAACAAGCTGCTGCTATTATTTTTACTTTCTAGATGAACAAACCACGGCGCAGAATGAAATGGAATGCTTGGGCCATCCCTGGGCTTTGGCCTAAGGGTACAGCCAGGGTCCCCCACCTGATGCTGTCTGAGAGAGATGCCGGGTTTTGCCCTGACTGTTGCTGTTCAGACAGCCCAGACTTCATCCTGGATTGATGTTTACCAGCACAGCAGACAGTGTCCCAGCTTTGGGTATCCTCATCTGATCTCTGCCATTCCCTAAAAGGTAATTCAGAAGAAAAAGAACAGTACATTTGCAATGTGTGAAGGAAAGGTCAGAAGAGTCACAGATAAACAAATATGATACAAATGTGAAGTCATTTTTCTGAAGGAGTTTTTAATTAAATTTTAACATGGAATTTGAAAACGTAAGAAGTATCACGCCTCCCTTTGCTGTACTTAATGGAGTCAGTCAGACTGAATAGGAGATGTTTTGTTACCCAGAGATCTTTTTACAATCACAGAGAGAAATATCACAGGAGAAACACGATGTGTGTGCATACAACAAAGATTGCATCTCTTCATTATAAAGGATAGACAGCAGTTTAGGGCAACTTATCTGTGTGGGTCCAGTTAACATTCAGCCTCTTACATGTCTCTACTTTGTACCGCAGCTGAAACATTAATCATACAAACAGCAGAAAAAAACAGGAAACTTTCCTCAAACATCTGAAGGAAATGAAGAGATTTTTAATATTCAGTGTTGCAATCAAAAACGCAAAGAGATGTGACTGTGAAAGCACATGAGAAAAGCTGTCTGGCTTAAAACATGGCAAGGAACAAGAGAGTTTGGGCACCTGGTTCAGTGCTTCGGCCAGCCATGGTCAAAGCTGCTGCTCCTGCTTGTTTGGGGTACTCCTCAGTGTACCTCCGTGCTGGAACCAGTTGGAAGTAGATCTCAATACACAGGCAGTGGATTTAGCACTGGAGCACTACATTTTGCTTTCATAGGTGAGATCAAATCCAGGGTCACCTCAGTTAATGAATAACCCAGTCAATTGTGATAGATCCCATTTATTCTGATAAATTTGGCTTTAAAAATTGAACTTTTGTTGATACAAGTGTAAACTAGAGGGGAATAGAAACATGTTTTCCCCGTGAAAAATATTCAGTTGTGTCAACAACACAAAAGAAACGTTCCTATCATTCTTGAAGAGACCTGAAAATTCATAGTTTTCACAGAAGAAAAAGCTGAACGTTTACACATTCCAAATACAACTTACACTTTCTGGAAAAAGAATGCTTCAATCAAACAAAACGGAACAGCCCACATAGCTTTGATGGAAATGTTCTCCTTACTTCCTAGATACTCACCTTGTTACTGTGTGATTCCCTTCGAATCAGATGAACTCTTCACAGCAGGTTCAGTGCAGCATTATATTGTCCAAGGAAAGGCGTGGATGCTGGAGTCATTAATAATAAGGGCATATTGCTTTGATACAGCAGCTCCATCAGAGCCAAACTTTACCTGCAAATACACAGAGCTGATGCAGTTTATCTTTGGAACAAGCCATATGGGTACAGAGGGTTTTTATGAAAGGCTTTCAACAAATAGAGTGGGTTGCAATGTGATTGTCTCAGCGATGCATAAATATTGAATAGCCAAACACAACATTAGCTAATTAAGTTGAGGGTGACTACTGGACAGAGATAAAGCACCCAGTAAGTAAGCATGGGTTAAGCCTGCCCTCTCACTGCACACACTGCGGTTGCTCCCTGAATACTCTGAGAACGTGGGTTTCCAGGAAATTGAATCCAGCAATAATTGGCACCTGGAAACTAAAAGAAGGTCAGCAAAAATCAGAGAGAGCTTCTTCAACTGCAGTGCGTTGTAAAGACAGTGCAGAGCTTAGGACAGAACTTCAACAACAGGACTCCTCCAATAAAACAGTAGTGAGAAATTGGCTGTTTAAGGAAAGTCTTACTTGGAAAATACTATTACATGCATTACAGTTAGCTTCTACAAGGCACATAGTAAACCAAGCTTCACACAATGAGATTTCAAAAGAAGAACTGGACACACATGCACCGTGCAGACACACACCCCACCATTACACAGAGCCAGCAGTGGTATCTCCCAGCCTGTATGTCAGAAGCAGAGATATCAGAAAGCACATTCCATTTACAAGATGTTATTTTCCAGCATGAAAAATAAGTGTTTTGGAGAACCAAACCAATCTGTAACCCTTTTTTTGAAGATTGTTTGCAGCCTCTCATCGTGGAAACAGAAGTTCATAAAGATACCTGCAAGGTACTGTATGCAGGCTCATGCTGTTTGTATTTTTTTAAAGATTAATTATTACTTCAGGTGTTGTCAATGAATGAGAAAGGTCTCCATTAAGATGAGTGGGATTAGTTAAAGAACATGAGAGAAGCTGCGTTACGGGCAGAACACACTCACTGCCATCCATTGTGCCCATGGAACAAAACAACAGTAAAGAAACCCCATCCTGCCCAAACAGAAAGCTTTGTAGTCGGGAGAATTCTGTTCCAGATGACTTTAATAGTTATGTTTGTATATTCTTTGGTAGATTTGACCAGAACACAGCAATGCACATTACTGAATAGTTAGGAAAAAAACGACTGGTAGCCTGAAAGAGGTGGGACTGCTCTTCTGTGCAGTACTTCTGTCTAATTCAGTTTGAAATTACTGTGAAAACATTCTCTAGCACTGTTTGTGGGAATGCACGGTCAGGCTGTACCAGTCTCATGGTAAAAGATGATTATTAACTCAGTTATTCAGCTTATAGCCACAAACAGCTGTAAGAGCAAAACTGAAAGGGTCCACACCCGCCGGCCACCCGATCTGCCGCCCTGTGGGGGGGGGGCTGGAGCTTCCCAAACTGCCTTCACTGCCAAAGAGATCGTAGGACTGCACTGTGATGGCAGTTTCTGTTGTCCTCGATGTAATTCAGTGATTACCTCAAGATAGTCTAAAGACAGATATGCAAGAAATGTGGAAAATTCCAAAGCGTGTGAATGCAGTTATGAGACATTCTGTAATTCAATTAGCCAGTATTTTTCAATCTCTTTAGGGACATAATTTTTCAACACGTAGCAAACCCTGCCTCCTCGTGTATCAGTGACGTGGTCAGCTTAATGTATGACCAAGTGAATGACAGGCATTATGACAGCCTGTTTTTCATACACACCTTCACAAAGTCAACAGATGCACAGTGCAAAGGAAGCATTTGTTAACAGCAGTTTTCTGAGTCGACGCTTTCCTTCTGAGCTTCCTTCAAAATGGATGTAACTAATACCAATGTAATAACAACGTAATTGCTGACAATTCACGTGATGTCTTTAAGATATGTTTAGTCATTTGCAAAAGATGTTATAAAATCAGAACATCTGCTTATAGGAAATATTGGACTTCTATAATGAGTAACAGGATAACAGTTATAATTCATTTATGCTATAACCCCTACAAAATGAATGAATTAACCTTTTTTAAGTCACCCAAGTCACACCTAGGAGAACAGAGTCTGACCCAAATAATCTGTAATTAGATCATCAGCTGTGACACTACTGATCTCCTGAGATTTGGAGTGGCCTCAGCTGCCCTCATTCTCCAGCTGCAACTCAGAGACCTGGCTTCATTCTTGAAAGAGAAATTTTAAGAAGACGTGCAATACTAAAATTATGATGTTGAATATCTGTCCTCTTGGAATTGTCCTAACCTGTGAATATGGAATCACAAATCATATTATGACCTTGTCAAGCAGAACAATTACATTATTGCTTACATACCAGGGGTCTATTTGGTGCCCCCACAGCTTGCAGGTGCTGTTCAAATAGATTGAAGTCTGTAATATCAGTCTTCAATTGCCAAAATCAGTACATAAAAGTTAAGCTGCAAGAATATTATTTACATAATTCAATATTTAGAAAGACTAACAACTGGATCAATATTGGAGTTGTAAAATAATAAATGTCTGTATTATTCTCATGTATTAAGTATTTGATGTCTAATAGCTTTTAAGAAAGGCACTCTAATAATACTATGTCTAATAATACATCTAGTACCTTTTATTTGATCCTTGGGGTCTGTTCTCCAAGGGCCATTCTAAGAACATGATACTCTTGGAGTAATTCAAATCAGTACTCTGTGTTTCTAGCATTTCTTTTCCAGTGGTCAGCACATAAATGTGGTGAGTTACATATGGCTTTAAATTTTCTTAACAACATATATGAGAACAAAAATAGGTATTTCAAATCCACTTGCTGATGATGTAATTAAATTTAAAATGTTAAGTGCAACAATTTGACTTTGATTTGGATTATCTGATTAACAGCACAGCTCTGATGACCATTAAATCCCCTTGAAAAATAAAGCCTTATCGATTCCAGGTACAAATAAAACTCACACCTTTCAAAACCTATCTGTGTTCAATCTGAGATGCACAGGATCCTTCAGAACTATCAGAAGGCCCTCACGCTAACAGCAGGGGTTTTTTTCCTCATTTCTGTGGCATATGTTATATCCAAAATCACAGTATAAAGAAATTTCATGCTCAGAATTGAAATCCTTTCTCACATTTAACTCAGCCAAAATTCCTGTGATGGCAGAATTAAATTCGGGTTTGTTCTCTATCGGCAAGGAAGCCACAATATGGAACAATTAACATTTTTTTACTCCAAACTACAAAAACTGTTACTTTCTCTGAACATTTATAATCATTTTAAAGTCATCTGTAGCTGTTCTATGTCCATTGCCTCCGCCCAGAATTCCTCAGGCATTTGTTAGGGTAACCCACATACGTTCTGATCTAGAAGAAATGAGTAATCATTTTTCTTGTGTAACGCAACAAGTTTTGCAGATGGGAAGTGACCTTCCCTTATAAACACTGACATGTTTGTAACATCTGAACTCACGCTGAGACTCCTCTTCCCATGAAAGACAAAAAAAAGGGACAGGAACCTCAGGGCCCAAGCAGGCTGCACTTCTGAAAATTAAATTCTAGGTGGCTCACACTGCCACTGGGGAGAAGACAGTTTCAGTGATTTGTGTGTCTTTGCCTTCACCAATATTTTTGTTTTCTTACAGTCTAAATATCCCACAAGGAAAAGATCTCACTGCAGATAACTCTTCTTTTTTTTTTCTTTTTTTTTTCCAGTTGAGTCATTTGGCTGGTTTATGTCTCCTGTGTAGAGGTGTAGTTTCACCAAATGCCTACTGCCTGCAGGAAGAACTCCCTCCGAACAGATTCTCTACCTGAGAATCAGGGAAGGAAATAAATCTGGAACTGGTGACATTTCGAGGACAAGGAAAACAACCGCTCGGAGAATTATCTGATTCAGTTGGTGTTTATTTTTACTTATATCCAGCAATCTGCTCCCCAACAGAAGATGCTTGTTTGCAGAAAAGAAGGCTGTCTCCTGTCTGGGCTGGCGCCTGGTCTGGAGAAAAGGTGGCACTAAGGACAAGAGGTATGCTTTAAGCATGTATTAGCTAACGCAGTAGGCTGCTGGGTGGGAATTGGATGTGCCATGTATAATAGCTAATTAAGGATAAATCCTACATTCCTTCCCGTCATGCTTCTCATCTACCACCATAAGCTAAATCTGCCTGGCACTCAGACGTGCACATTCCAAACTAAAGCATTCCACATGAGGAATTTTAGAATTGATTATTCATAAATAATGTGTGTAGAGAAGCCGTAAGGTATAGCTCAGCTAATTTACTTCACACACTCTTGCTGTCAAATTAGAATTTCACAATAAGTCTCTTGGAGAAACTTCTGCAGTCTGAGGATACTGTCATGAGGGTCTGAATAACTGCAGATTGCAAACTAGAGTGAAACAGATTGCATCAGAATGGTGAACAGGTTAAGAAGCAGAAAAGAGCTGTTACTTTTTGCTGCAACTGAATTGCTAAGAAACAAGTGAAAATGTAAAATCCATGCTTCCATCTGCCCAAGGCTCAACCCTTATTTCCAGGTTATTTCTACTACGGTGATTTTGTCTTGCAAAACTTTCACGTAAGGCATTAAATAATGTTGAGTCACTGATGTGCCAGCTGTGGTATCCAGTAGTTACTGAATATAAACCTGAGTCTTTGCTTTCTCCAAGTCTTTGCCTCGGTGATATCTTAAAACATAACAGCCTCTGCCTGTTGGCAATTTTTCTCATGGGGAGAGTGACAGAACATTTTGTGTTCTCTTATCTTCAATAGCAATGAAACAGGAGGAGCTCCACAATGCGAAACCAAATCTACTGCTATTAATACAACATCCCAGCCACAGAGAAGAGATTTGTTTATTTATCAAAGCTAGAGATGCCTCTCTCTGACCTTTCCAGAGCTTGTGTGCTTTAGCTGGGAATAGATTCCTAAGAACGGGATGCTCTTTTTAAAAATACACACTAAAAACTTAGCCCCCACTCCTGAAACAGAGCCAAGGCTGGAAACCCAATTATGTGAAATGCCCCATAATGTTGAGTATTCAGAATAAGTCTAACTAGGGCAATGGTCCATTGCACAGAGATCAGTCAGCCCACTCACCCTTCCTCCTGCCAATCAGTGACACATTAAGTGACTATAACCATACATGGGCCCACTTTCTGAGGCCTAACATCTGCCTGCAGCCCAAGAAACCCGTCAGTAGGGCTCTTATTTTTTTTTTCTTCCAGAATTTAAAAGTGTTTCAGACTGTACTGAACTGTATTTGTTTGTATTCTTCTGGAATTCGTTTTGAAGTGAAAAAAAAATCATTACATGCACAAATCAAAATGTAAGTTTTTTTTTTTTACCAGTTTGTTGTATTTACTGACCTGTCTGGACAGCCTAAGAGAATCTCTGCAATAGTTGAATCTTGCATATTGAAACTGGCTTATTTACCTGATAGATGCATAATCCACTTATCAAGCTGGTGCACCTCTAACTCTCAGGGTGATTCCAGTTTGGTCATCCGTGTTGGGCAATTTTAAATTAAAGTTCCCTAGCTGTCTGCTTGCCAGAAGCAGCAAGCAGCTGTCCTGCAACACAGTTGGCAAAAATGAATGCAACTGGCTTCTCAGCCATCTAGTTCTCACTGAAACCACCACTGATTTTGGTACCTGCTCCTTAACAGGCTGTTAAGGAAATATCAAAGAGGCCTGAGCACAAGAACTGGGAGCAGGGAAAGAATTGGCCTTATGTGTACTGATTCCAAAGCAATAGTCATGTTACATAAAGGGAAAACAATACTTATGCCACCTCCTTCTCCTCCAACAGTTACAACAGAAGGCAGCATACCTTCCTTCATAGGAGGATCCAGTCTTATCTGACAGCTGTGCTCTAAGCGTGCCTGCTTAAGTGGGCCCTTCCAAGACATGCCTGTAGCTGGCTATCTGAGATCTCACAGACTGGGCTCATGGCACTGCAGTTGGTTCCCCTCTCCTGCCTGCCCTTGGTTGCATGAGCACCAGCTCTCCATGCAGCAGAATTGCAAGGCACGTCACAGAGCTGTTCACCTTAGAGTAATACCAAAAAAAGAAATCAGACTGCCTCGTTAAGCATTCAGTTCACTGTGACTAACATGTCTGTCAGATGCACTGGTAAAATTGCTTGTGGGCCTCAGCACAGAACACTGCCTTTTTTTTGAAGCTGTTGTTTTTGCTAAGTAACTTCCAACTGCCTGTACCCATAAAATGGTGGAAAATAAAGGGACTGAAAGCAGCATGAAGGTGTGTAAGTAGGAGCACAGCTGCACCTTTTGGCAGAAGTACCAGATGTTGGGGATGAGAAAGTGCCCTGTTGAACTGTGTCTTATGTCCAAGTCTTGTTTTAATTATCATGCTACTTGCTGTTGTCTAGGTATTGCATATAGGGTCCTGTGATTTGACTAAGCCGATCACCTGTAGAATTAGAAATAAACTCCAAGAGTCCAAAATTACTATTTACTCTCTGTAAGCAACCACTGGGCAATATTATCTATAAATAAAATCTCCCAAATATTACTCTGAACCACGTAGCAGCTTGGAAGGCCAAAAAACTGTCTTTCATTACTTCTTCACACTTTTGAAGGAATTGGTTTAGCAGTGATGCATCCCCTCATGCTCTGACCAACTTCACACTTCATTTTTTATCCAAATCTAAGTAACAGGCTTTGGGGACCTTGTCTGTATTCCTTCCTACTCAAGTCTGTTCCCATCTGCCTGATCCCCTCAGTGACTTCACAATACTTCTTTTGTGTCACCAGAACTACTGTTGCCTCCCAGTCAAACTTCCCACACTGGTCTCTAAAACTGCACTCCCTGCTTTTGCATGTTCAGTTTCTGTATCTGCAAGCGCATGAATAAGGGCTTGTTTGAGGACACAGAATTTAGTATGGCCATTTTACAATTTGGGTTCAGGCTGAGCTCAGTGTCTACGGAAAATTGCCAAAAAGCTTCTGATCCCGGTAATTAGGGGACAGGCATGTGAGGAACCTGTGGAAAGAGGTCCCTCACCCTGCCTGACTCACAGCTGGAGTTTCTCGCTGGCAGTTGAGACGGGTGATGTGAGAGGTTAGTCAAGAGTGGGGGCAGATTCCAGTGGGGTTTCACCAGCCAAATTCCTATCTAGCAAAAGGTTGCTACAGCAACTCTGAGCCACCCGAGATACAGAAATTATTGTAATGGCTGCTGAAATGCCTCGCTACTGCTCTGAGACAGGATAAGGAAAACCCCTCCTTTTGATATGGGATGGTTACCCACTGCCACGCTTTTATGTCAGCTCTGTACAAGCGCCAGGTTTCCTGAACTTGCTTGGGAGCCAGGGTTACCTTTCAGTCCAAAGCAAGCCACCATTACTGGTGTATGTAATGCAAACATTGAAATAATAAACCTAAACACTGAACAACAAGCCAATACTTTTTTTTTTTCCCATGGAGAGAATAAAATAGTAAACAAATCATATGATAACATCCTATGGAATGGGCTGACCAGAATATAGAAACCTGCACATAGCCAAATTGTGTATTTTCCTGACTAGAGTTTCTGGTTTTCAAAATTCACATAGATACAAAAAGAAACAAACAAAACAAAAATGGGACAAAAGCCCTCACAGCTTCCCAGCGACTCTCCAGCCATTTTTTGGCCGCCTCCAGCCTGAGCATGTTTTCCTCTGGCATTTGGCCCACTCACAGGTCATTCAGTCCACTGGACTATGTCATAAATACCAGACAGAGACGATGCTTTGGACAGAATGGGAAAGCTTGTGACCTAAACAGGACCTGAATTTAGAATGGGGTGGACTGAGGATAACAGAGACGTAGCACCAGCATTATCAGCATACTCTCTATGTGAAAAAAACTTTCTCATAGTTTCTCCCATTTACCTCCCTGTTGCTTCAGAGCAACTCAGTTTACTCTAGAAGCCAACAATGAAAACAGCAGAAACTCTGTTATCTGAAATAGTAGCTGTTTTTAGCTGAAATAACTGGCTTTTAAAATTATGGTGATAATTTCACTAAGACATCAGTTCATACCTCAGTGTTGCATTTTGGTCACAAAAAAAAAAGACCAAGTCATTGTGGGCGCAGATACACTAAAATTGATATGGTTGCGTCCTGGCTGAATTTGGCCCAGCATGCCTAGAACATGCTCTGGGATTATTCAGTTCAAAATACCACACTAATCCAATCTCCTAAAGCTGCCAAATGTTGTAATGTTTGGTATCAGCATGTGGCATTTTATGGTTTTTGATACAAGCTCGGTCTCTTGTTAACAGAGAATTTCTTAGGTTTCTTACCTTTTGCCAGGTCTGCGAGCTCTTGGGCTGACCCTGAAAAGCCTGGGAACGAACTGTGCTTCCCTGTGTCCAAACACCCTGAGCGAGTCATTGTCTACTGAGAAACTGGTTCTCAGAGCTCAAGAAAAGCATATCATTTTTAAAACAAAACATTTGTTAACTAAGGATTTCCTGGATTTTTCTGCTTTCTTATTTATACTATGATCTAGACACTGTGAAACCACTGTTTAACTTCCAGTATTATTTATGGAAGCCAGCCCATTGATGTTTCCAGATCTTAGAGAGAACTTCCAATTTGCAGTTTCAGTACCAGGTGCATAATCCTGACTTTAATTAATAAACTAAAAAATAATATAGTGCAAGTACTTAACTCTCTCATGCTTTGTCTCACTATCCATGGGCAGGGCATCTTCTATAGGCTCCTGAATCCTGAAAGCTCTGCTTCGGTGACAATTCAGGACCTGTGGTTTCCAACCTTTTCAGTGCAGGAGGGGTAAATATTAGTTTGGGAGCACTCCTGTTGCACACAGAAAGACAAAATGCTTGAACACATGAACAGATTTTAGGAAACAAACGTAGCACATTAACACTTCTGACTAAAATTCTTCACTTCGCAACTGAAAGAAGGAGGTAAGGAATGATGATTTAGCAGACTGGGTCCAACTTCTGTGCTGTCAATGTGGCTACTCTGGTTTATAACTGTGGTGAAAAAAATCACTTTAAAGTATAACCCTCTCTGGATGCACCTGGGTTTGCATGCTGTTTGCATGCATTCTGTGCTACACATCACAGCTGCATAAACAAAGTGGTTTGTAAATATTAGCAAATTTGAAATGAGCATCTTAAATTTAGTTTGCTTGAGTAGAAATGACCATGCATATAGCACAAGGCAGCACAGAATCAGGTCAGTGAAGTTCATGTGACCCCCATCTAAGCAAGATATATTGGTTGCCCAATAGGGCCATTAACAAACAGCAGGGGAGAGAGTGCAGTAGTAGTAAATAGCTTATTTAAAGCTCTGCTCAGGTGCTCCTTTACCTTACAGTCCTCCTGTCTGCCACTCATCAGAGGACTGTTTGTGCATTGTTGCACAGACTTCATCACGCCATCAGTTACAGCTGCCCCAAGGACTTCTACGATGACAGATAAAGGTTGCAATGTGCTGATGACCCGTGAGGATGTTAGTGGGATGGAATATTGTGACTTTCAAATGCCTTTTTGAAAACCTGGGGAAATATATCCCTGAAGTCTTTATTTAAGAGAGAAAATATTAAGTCTACAAAATGCTTGAAACACTTGCTGAAATTAGAAAAACTTGGATTAGAAAAAGCAGCCCGGAATCACGTAATTAAGGATTGCATTGGGGCATAAACATGGAAAGGCAGCCTTTACTCTGGCATTTTCCAACTTCGGTGTGCTTGCAAGTTATTCATATTTTGGCAAAGATGCTGGATACATAAAATGTATATATTATATATAGAACTGCATTTATCTCTGCTGTATTTTCTGCCTTACAAATACACTTTTCCTGGTTCCATGTCAGAACCTACAACATTAACATATTCAGATGCCAGTTGCTGGATTTAATTGTTTCTTGATAATCCAGAGGCTGAGCCTGGACTTGCTCAGCCTCTCCATACTTCAGTCTTATCTAGCACTTTTTCTAAGCCACCCAGATAAATTATCTCAGTGTCCTGAGGTAAAGTGATTCTCTTGTCCACGGGGTCTGGATTGCTCCAATTTCTTTCTTTATTTATTCTGCTTCATCTGCCAGACAGTTCTGAGCTCAAGCATTAGGAGTGATGAACAGGAAAAGCTTTCTCTTTCTCTGATTTAATTTAAAAAAATGTATCATGCTGTACCAAGAATTTCCAAATAAAAGAAGCGGTTTTAAAACATTTCTTTAGTAAGAGTGTGGACAACAATCCAAATAAAGAAAGACCAACGCGTGAATCTGAAAAGAATCCTCAGGTAGAATTAGAAAAACGGAATAAAATGTGGAGAAGGAGACCCACTAATTCACCTTCTTGCAAAACACATACATAAGAATGTGGCGTATTCATTTGCACTTGAACAGATTATTTAGTTCTCCAGAAGGAATCAAAAAGTTTCCCATGTTTTTTTCCTGGATAATTTTTGAAGAATCCTTTGAGTTATTAAGTTATTATAGAAGCAAAAGCACCATATTTAACTTTTATTGCATTCAAATTCTGAGTTATGCTACTGATGAAAAGATTCATTTTCACTCATGTCCTCTTTCTGTAATATATCCTCCAACAGCAGCAGAACACTGCTCTTTGTTGCTCCGTTGCTGTTCATGATGTCAAAGCACTGTAAGTGGAAGTAAGTTTCACAATGTATTGTGCAGAAACTTCAGTTCCATTAAATTCGGTGAAAACTGAGGCACAGAGATTCAGGAACTGTGAAATCTGAGAGAAGAGCACAGAACCTTCAGTTTTCATATACACATCCACTCCTTCTACTTCTTCCTTCTTTCCAGCAAATGCACTCTTTCAAAAAATAAAGGCAGGCAATGTAGTAAGCAACCTCTGACATGGTTAGAGAACTAATGTGCACTCAGACCACAGCAGATTTAAATTAAAGATGCCAAGAACACCGAACACGTTAGTATCAGGAAATCCTGATTGCCTCCATTGAGAGGTCAATGAAAGACAATTGTGTACATTTGCTGTTTGTTACTCAAATGTCACTTCCTTATGACAGTGTGCATTACCTAATCTGCAAAGGTCAACGAATTACTCCTTAGTTCCTTGCAAATGACTGTGCAATGAACTTTGCCATTTTTAATGCATATTTCTGAGGAAAAAAGCTAGTGCTACAGGTTTGAGGCTCACAAAGCCTCTAAATCTGAAGCACATTTCATGACAATATATTTGTAGCACTACCCATAGAGCTTCGTAACTACCAGACCTAAGCAGAGACTCCCTTAGAACTGACTCACAGTTTGCACAGGAGCTAGCACACACTAAGCATGTAAGGAGTCCAGTTGTTGATTATTGAATCCTTATGCAGTATAAATACAATTAGTCAGTACATTGATCATCAAAGAGATTTGGGAAAACTGAGATATTACCATCTAAGAGTTAATAGCAGCTTTGGTGAACAACTCACTGCATTGTCAGTTTGCTCACTTAAAAAAAAGAGGACCTAATGGGGGACTATTGCAGATCAACAGCTTATCAAAACTGCATAAATGCACACAGACTGGTAGGGATGAACACAGTGCTGATCGTGTACGTAGCTGCTGACTTCTCTTTTCACCCATGCGGGGCTCCTCTGCAATCAGTTTGTATGGATACTTAGCACAGTTTACAGGTCCGAACCACTGTGGATAGTTTCCATAGTACTAGAAATCTCCATGCTGAACTGGGACAGCAGGGTTTAACTTAGCAGGTAGTGGAATGCACAAGCACAGCACAGAGACAAGACTGGGGAATTAGGCTGCTGGCAAGTAGCAGCTGAAAGCTGATTGAACACAACAGATTGGGCTTTCATACTGGACAGATAGGCAGCAGCTATTTAAATGGAGCATTAACAGTTTTGCTCTTAATTATTTCCAAACCTTCCAGCTAATACAGACTCAGTATGACATGTATCTCAGCCTCGTTTATTTTCTGTTTCTGTGTGAGTCGAGTTAAAGCTGAATGGTTTGTTGAAAAATTCTGTCTGTTGAAAACCATTTTCTTTTAAGTGCTGGTCTTCTTTCTTCAAGCAGTTCTCATGTAAGTAACTGAATACATACCTCACAAAAATGTTTGCTTTCTCCATTCCAAGTGGAATTTCTTCTGAAATGATACTGCCTTGCAAGCCAACAAATGCTCATCATTCTGACCCAGCGGCAGGTGGAAGGCCAGTAAAGTCCAGAGTTAAAGGGGAAACATCATACCTTCAGAAAAGGGAAATTCGTATCCACGCAGTCATACACCATTCACTTTTTGGTCTGAGATGACCTAAGACTTTGGCATTTCTATGTACAGTACAGTTTTTCCAGAAGTTCTTAAAAGCACATCAGTTACAAATTTTCTCTCAGATATGCGTACAGTTAAACTAGTGAAAGCCACAATGGCTAGTTTATACCTCAAAGAATAAACTGAAATAACTTAATAAAACTTTACTAACAAAGATGTCAAACCTATCTTAAATATCTCTGAAATAAGAGAATGACCTTCCAAAATTATGTAGCTGCTTCCAAAACTGAGCATTTGAGCCCTGTTTTCGCACTTGTAATTTCTATACATCCTCCATTATATTGTATTTCAATAAAGACTGGAAATCCTCATCAATACTGATTTGATATGGATCCAGGGTACACATACAATAGCTCTTGTGACAAGTGGGACAGAATGTACCATTTGACATTTATTCAGCCTGAGAGAGGACAACACATGAAGGTTACAGTAGTCTAAAGTTTAAAAGGTTCATGTAGACAACATGAAATAGAGTGGAACAGAACGGAATGGAATGGTTTGGTTGGGAAGGAACTTCAGTGATCATGGAGTCCAACTGCCTCACCTCTTCAGAGCTAACCATGATTCCATGTTTTCTTAGGGATGATGAGTAGCCACAGGTTTTGACAGGGCAGGATTTCCACGAGTTCTTGTACAGCAAATATGAGTTAGCAGCTCTGCTGATCCCTTCCTACAGCTGTCATAAACAGATCCTCCATAAATACAAGCCAGAAACTATTCACATCTGTACCATTCTCAGTTCGATTTTCATTTGTCTTTCTTCTTGGTCTTTTTTGGCATGTTTCAAATGTGAAAACTCTTAGATGTGAAAGATAATCAAATTAACGCTAGGAAACGGTACGTGAACTCAGCATATTGCCCCAAGGCTTAGGCCTGAAGGAATTTCAGCTGTGCAGAGATCCAGTGCGATAAGAGAATACAGAAATATAAAGAACATATTGATGTAGCTAACTATGAAAACAGACAGGCATTATTGAATTGATAAGTAGGAGGGGGTAGCGGTGCTTGTAAAACAACATGATTTGTAACGATAGTGATTCACACTCCTTTTGCACAGATATAAAGAGCTACAGAAGCATTGTTCTAATTTAGTGCTGCCATAAACTCCCCAGCTGAAAGCAGCACCAACCAGTACAGGTGAGCCAATGTGGGACAGCAGCAAGGCTTGCTCTGCTCTTTCAGTGACTGCTACAGAAGTTCTGCCACACCTGCATTATTCCTGGAGTACCTTATCCTCCCCCTCCACTTTCTGCATGGATGACTGAAGCTACAGCCTGGCCCTAATTTTGCAGCTAGTCTCAACAAGTACAGTTAACAGTCCAAAGCATTCCTGGCACAGGGGAGCAGACACGAGCAAGCCTTTTAGCAATTGATATCCAAGAACATCAGACAGAATATATTTTCCAATTATGGATTCCTTATGTAGTTATAAATTCTGATAGTTTGTACTGTACCTTCCGTTCCAGCTGTGGATGTGATGATTCTTGAATCTGCAGTCAGAACAAGGTAGGACAATGTCTGTAACGGTTTTGCTTTCTGTCTGCAGAGTCTGGAAAAGGAAATATATTTTTTCCACAGTGGAGCAAGTTTTAATCCAAGCTTCATTTTACTACTCCATTGAAGACAACATACTGTATGTTTTTCACATTTTCTGTCCTGTAAATAAGGAAATTAGATTATTTAATTTTTAATTTCATTTAATCATCCTCTCATACCTCACATTTACCTGTTTGCATATCACTGTAGTATCTGTGGATGCAGCAGCTAAATGTCATTGTTTTTATTGTACAAATAGGGCACTCAGAAACAAAATGCTTATCCAAGAGGCCAGTGGCAGAGGTAGAAATATAACTGTGGGTTAATGTTCAGTAACAAAAAAAAAGAATGTTCATCTACAATGCTCTTGGCTTTAAAATATTATTTTGCCTGGTTCAAAGACACTGTATTATGTCTCCACATGGCTTTTTCTTAGAGCTGTACAGCTGCAGTACTAGTGTTCTGAAATGTCCCAACTGAATTTCAAATGAATATCAGAAATAGGCAAGGATATACATGATACATGCAGAATATGTATCTAGGGAAATCACAGAAGATCTAGTTTCCACTAGTTGGTTATACATAAATTATTTAGGCAATCTTCGTAAGCCTGTTGATTAGCTGGAGGCAGATATCTATTTTAGGTGTTCTTAGGGTCAGGATTAACTCAAAACTTGGATGGCATTGTCCGTAAAACAGCTAGAGACATTTCAGCAATCTCATTCAGAAATGAGGCGTGCTCCTTTATCACTTTTAAATATGTATTTTCTAGCTTTCCCTAATGAAGAGGATGACATTTTTTGAAATGATGTGTTAAATGTCTTACAAAGCTATATTAGAAACTATTTAGGTGACTGGAGAAAGAACAGGACTGAGAGCCAGGAGACTATTTCTATTTCTAGTTCTGCCATAAATTTTGTGACTTTGAACCTCAGCTCCCGCTTCTGTGAAATGGGGATGATAATATTTACTGTTCTCTCAGGAGGTTGTGTAACGCGGTTTTCATGATGGTCTCTGAAACGTCTGAGATCTTTGATTACAATGTTCAAAGGAAAGCAATTAATAAGATAATAACAATCAGAGTATCAGCATGATTATTGATGATAAAAATAATGTTTGATAATGTTATGGGTATTAAATTATAAGCTTGATAGCATGGCTCTCAAAAAAAAAAAGCCCAACCTGTTCATATCAGGAAGATCGTTGTAACACACTTCTAGGAACAAGAATGCTGCCAGCATAGTTGCAACATGAGTGGAAAAGAATCTGTGAAGCTCTCTGTCTGAGCAATTGTAGGAGGCAGAAATGAATATCTTTTCAATAATGCTTTGTGACACAGGAGCAGAAGCAGCTTTAGAGCTTAACAGTATTTTTAAAATATGACTCAGGAGAGGTTTTCTTTTTCTAACTGAGCTGGGGGAAAAAAATAACACCATAAAAACTACCCAAGAGTCAAACAATCTTTTAGAAACCTGGAACCTTTAAATAAAACAAGTATTGTAGGTCAGGATAATTTGAATTTGCATATAACACCATTGACAAAGACAGAAGAGATCTATGCATAATGAACAGAGAAAAACAGATCTGATATGTTGGAAAACTTGAGTTCTGAGAGATTAATGAATTGCCCGTTCCACAACATACCATCCTTTTGAAATACCTATATAGATTGTATTGAATGGCAGAAATAAGAAACACGAAAGATCAACACAGCAGAAATTCCACTAAAGAAAACGTATTCAGATTTGGTTAGTCACAGTAACAGAAAATGAAAGCAGTTCTACAGCTTCTCTTTTCTTCCCACGTTAGGAAGCTGATGTAGAGACCTTAACAAAGGTAGAGGAAGGTGACAGATGCAATGCAATTGCATCCATTACTCCTACCACAGAAGCAGTGCCTTTTTAAAAACAAAGCCTACCTCCTTTCTGATGGTTTCACTGCTAATCCAAACAGGATCATCTGGTTTCAATCTCTGATTTTGCCTTAGGTTATAGGGGACAAAAAAGATCAACGTAAAATTTGAAGTTATCATGTAACTAATAAAAGGGCTTCTTTGACAGTATAGGAGAATGAAAATTAAAGTGTGTTACTTTGGTATTTTAGTAGTAACTTTTAATGAGTTTGGATTAAATCTTCAACACGGAACACAGAAAGGTGCTTCAGCTCGTGTCATATCAGAAAAAGTCACAAGTCTAAATAAGTCATGTGCCATTTGTCTGAAACAATGGCTGAAAATCAGGCAATCTCCATGACTATGGAAAGCTTTCCAATCTCACATTATTGCTACTCACCTGCATGGAAAGCATAAGGATGTCATCCTTTCAATTTTGAAAAGCCATACGAATAATTGCTGTTCAGAAAATATATGAAATGATGGCTATGCATTGCATGGGGGAACTCTTCATGGTACAGTACTAAAAAACAAAACCAAAAACAACAACAACATATATTGTTTATACCACTGTGATTATAGTTGCTGATATGGTCAATAAATACAAAAAAAAAAAAAGTTTTAAAAATAAGTAATTCAGATCACTTCAGCATAAGACTCTTATTAGACAAGGTTGGGGTAAACAAAGTGAAAAGACAAACCACTGGCATCAGTGAGCAATGTTCTGGTTGTCGTTGCTGCTCACAGACTAATACAAGCATCATTATGAACTGATAGGAACATATGAGAAGTGTTAAACTGTGTACTTTTCAGGCATCCTTGCATCCTTCTTTCCTTCATGCTTCCTATCGCAGGCAGGAGCATACAAAAAAACTGTGGATGAGTAATTTCCATTCTCTTTTCCTTTCAGTGTTCAAGACTGGTTCTGTCACCATAAATATCTATGAAGCAGGAAAGGAATTTGAATTTATAGTGCCCCTAGAGTCAGATACAATGGCACTATTAATCTACAGTAATTACTGCCCTACCTTGTAGCTGGTAGTTTCTAGGACTTGTCATTTGCCTGCTGAGCACCAGACTAACTCTCTTATAGTGTTTAGTATAGAGACAGTGCGCACTACGTGTTCAGCAGAGTGCAAGGTAAGCTCTGAATGCCACAGTCATGTTTCTAATGTATTCAAGAATCACCAAAAGAAAACCATCCAAAGTAACTGTCTCAAGTATTAACACTCTGAGAACTGGGGCTGTGTGGTGCGTTTGTGTGTCCAACTTGGGGTGCTGTTCACCTGAATGCCAGAGACTGCTGACTGCTGGCTTCAAAACCAAAGCAACCTCTTTGCTCTGGAAGCGTGGCCCGAGCCCTGTAGCAAAATAATGCAGCTTTTATTGCCTACAGATAATATGCAGCATGACCACAACAGTTAGCCATCAACTCGTTACAGACATAAAATACAGGTCAATTTTGTAACACCTTCCTAACAACAAACTCTACCTTTTCATCAGTATTGTGGCTGACCCTGTGCATCCTTACAAGCTTGGCAGTATCCTGAGCCACTTCTACAGATAGTAAAACCGAGATCCAGAAGCTCACAAGGGATATTTATAAAGGAAAAAAAAAAAAAAAAAGAAGAAAAAAAAGGCAGCTAGCTGCCAAATTAATTAGAATTAGACTTTAATTAGATGGAAAATTCAGGTCAGGATGAGAACATAATTCAAATCTCGTGGGCACCAACCAGTGCTTTGTTTCTAAAGTTGTTGTGCATTTTCAAGATAGCAGTGAAGCTGATTTCCCTTTAAGAGAAATGACTTGGCCATCAAATAAGGATAAAATTATTTTTTCAGATATGCATGATGGATCTTGGTTCTGATAAAAATGTTGCTCTCTCCCATACTTCTAGATCCCCTGTTGAGGTCAGTATTGGGATAGGGAGATTTTTCCAAACAGGGAAATGGAGATGATTGTGGCAAACAATCTAACAGAGTCTTCAGTGATAAACGAAATAACTATCAATAGGACAAAGAAATAAGAGAAGAAATCTACCAAGCCAAACTGCCATCTCTTATTGTCACTGAGACCAGAATCTGGCTCACCATCTCTTTTGCACTACCAAGGCAGCGCGCAGCTGTTCTGTGCAGGAACAGGAATCCATTTGTAGCAATCTCCCAGCAGCAACACTATCCTTTGTGTGCACGGTCTCTTGGCCTCTGTGGTGGACAAATTCTACCTGCTGCTGGTACAGGAACATGTATTTCCTAAGAAGAAAAGTTGATAAAGGATGAATTCAGATTATCTTAATTACCAACGTTTGAACTCACATTTAACCACTGATTTTTCTACTGGGTTTCTGTAACTGTTTCATCCCAGTATTTTTTGCATTTTGCTGTTTAAGCTATAAGCTTCTTAAAGAGAGACATAATACCATGAAATCAAAGAGCAAGCTGACTGGGGGGAAAAAAAAAAAGACAGTTACTATATTTAAACTGCATTATCCTATCACAGAACTGCAGTTTTTAAATCTTTCCATTTTAATGCAGCATTTTTGCAGCATTTTAATGTGTTTTAGTAATTTAAAGTGGCTAAAATATTTTAACAGCCACAATTTAAGAGGAATAAAATAGTAGAGCAGGAGGAATAACGAATGCCCCCATTTTTCACTGTGTGTTTGAAATCAGCTGAGGTAATGAGCACAGTGAGTTTGGTGGTCCCAACCAAAGTCTCATCAGGCGCTTTGCCAGTCTGCAAAAACCATCACCTAATTTGGCACAGTTAAGCAGTATAACCTTGTCTGTGCTCACTGAAGGAGATCCAGGCCTGAAACAGGAGGGGTACTGCTGCCCATGGTCAGCACCCAGTGTATTGCCACAACCGAGCACCACTTTGTGTGGCCTTCCATGCTGCATTTAACTCCAAAAAAAAAAATTCATCTTTGAAACTTGAGCTGCAAAACAGATCTTTTGTGTACAGCGAGAGTCAATCCATGTGACGACCAGTAACTCTACAGGGCATCTGCTTTGCAGCAGTGTGGATGAGTTAATGTTACTGCAGTTTGAAGGAAGGCATCCTGCAGTCCTCTCTCAGGCCAAATTCCCATTTACTTCAATTAGTAAGCATTACAGGAACAGTTTTAATGCTGCTGCCTGATGTGTTGGCTTCTTCTTCTAATATATCACAGTGAAAAAGATAGCAGGCCAAATGCATGAATGGTATACTTCCATTATGTGAATGGAATTTCATCAAGGCTAAAGCTAGTCCATTTTGTTGTGCCTCTTTCCAAGGTAACGCTCTGCAAACAAACTGCAACTTTACTTCATAGCAGCAAAATAAATCAGTTTCCTTTCTCCTTAGAGATGGAGAATGTAGAGCTATGTGCACCTCCTGGAATACCAGCCTGGAAGCTTTCACGGGCTTGCACAGCTCAGACAGAGCTGAGTTGCCTTCATTTTGATTTGGGTCAGGATAACCATCTTTTTCAAGATACAAGACAAATTGCTTAGGAAACTTTCTGAATTCCTGGATAATGGTGGGAAATTACACTTTTCAATTCACAAACCTAAGTTCCTATTATGTGAAATGATGCCAGAATGATCAGGTACTGATTCCAATGCATCAGTTTTGCACAGGAAAGTGACTGTAAAGGAAATTCTGCTCTGGAGGAGAAACACCTGTAGAGCAGTCTTCAGTTCAGCCATTCTCCCAAAGTTCACTGAGCTGTAACAGCATTCAGTGGCAGAACTGTACTACTATGTTTTTTTCAATTTATTTGAGTCTATGTTCAAAAGATACAAAAAAATGGGAAGAATTAAATCCTCCGTTCTCAGTGGATGAGAGAGAAACAAGGAAAGAGGAGTTGTCAAGCTGTAGCAGAAACAGTGAATCCTAGAGAATGCCGAGAGTTCACCAAGATTAGGTAGAATGCAAACTCTACTTTCCTAGCAACATTTCTGCCTGTTAACCAATTGGACTACTTTTTTTTTTATATACTGCCAACCTCTAATTGCACATGCCATGGTTCTGGTATGCCTAAATACTTTCCCGTAAGCCTTTTTGGAAACAAGCTCAAAAAGGAAACCAATAATGACATACAGAGTACATAACAGAAAGAAATAACTATGAAACATGACAATTTTTTTTGTTGTTGTTGTTTTTTGTTACAGTTAGAACATATCTATGTATGTGCAGTGTGATGCAGTGGTCCAAGAAGCAACGTGACTGTATTCAAGCAACATTTGGGCATGCAGACTAATCCTGCTGATAAAAAAGGAAGAAATTAATACGGGCATGGAGTAACTAATTCTCGTACCTAAACTAGGTCATCAGATCTAACTCATGAATTTTTATTCAGAATTCAGAACTATCCTGTGAAGTGCAGACATGCTGTCAACAAATCCTTATCTGGACATTGGCTAAATTACACAGGAATCTCTTCTGGGGCAGTTGCACTTTTGCTAGAAAGGATGCAGGACAACACAGTGCCTAGGATGCCATAATTTTATATTGCTGTCCCCTCTCCTCACTTCCTGTGCCAATACAGAGGTAAGATTCAGATCTTTTCCTTCCAGATCAGTTTCTCACAGTGTGATATTGTGGGTGGTTTTTAGCAGCGATGGATGTGCAGCTTGTATGTAGGATCTGCATTTATGTAAGCCAGCACACATGAACAGACCAGCCCTTGTATTTGCACATGCATAAGAAATGGTTGAAGCCAAGTGCTTTTAAGGGAATTTATACTGTGCTCTGTACAGTTTGCTACGTGTATCGCTGGTGTCAGTGATGTCAGACGGTGCTGACCTAACAGCTCGTACTGCATTCATTGAACTTTCTGTGAATCAAGGGGTAGGATGGCTAAATCAGTCAGTTTTCAGCATTCTGCATCTGTTTTCGAGTCTCCGTCACTTACAGAGATACCGCGCTGAGAGAAGCTGCTATCTCACACCACGCACGCTGCCGAAATCACACTGTGCAGTTTATACCTCCTCGCGTTATCTCCGTGCAAGGCAGGGCTGAGTGTGCGTGTCACTGTTATGCTGGCAGGACGGCGTGCGGCGCAGCGGGAAGCGAGGAAGTCGTGCAGAAGACACGGCTCTGCCAGCACAGGGCCCGCGCAGCCCAGCGGGACCGCCGGGGAACGAACCCGTCCGGTGTCGCCAGGGAGGCGCGCAGCCACGCTTCCTTCCTTCACCCCTGGCGGGTCCGTGGCTGGGTGAGGCTCCCGTACCCACAGAAGTGGCTGCAGCCCCTCACTCACCCTTTGGCTGCGTCCACCTCACCACTGAGGTGGCGGTAGCCCAACCCTCACTGGTCGTTTATGTGAGGTTCCTGTCGCGACAGAGCCGCGCAGCCCCACACGCACCCCGTGGCCGTTTATGTGAGGTTCCTGTCACGACAGAGCCGGGCAGCCCCACACGCGCGCTCCAGGCTCTCATTCCTGTCACCGAGCGCGCTCCCCTCAGCCGGGGCGGCCCCGCTTCCCTCAGCCGCTGCGCGGGTTGAGACCGGGACAGAGGGCGGCCACAGCGGTTCACTCCAGGCCAGGGGGGCGGGAAAGCGGCCACCCCACCTGCGGGCCTCTCCCACAGCGGAGCGGAAGCGCTCAGCCCGCCACACGAGGCCTGCATCACCACCCTCCTCCTCCTCCTCCTCTCCTCAGCCGAGGGCGGGCATCCGCGCTGCGCAGGACCGCGCCTCAGCGCCGCGGGGCGTGGCCCCGATTTGCCCCGCCCCCTTCTCTCGGCCGGCCAATCAGCGGCGTCCACATGCCGCGGCGGCGAGTGGGGCCCCCGGCGGCCCAGCTCCCGTAAGTTACATTAGAGCAGCCGCCGCCGGTGCGCGACCGGAGCGAGCGGGAGACAGCGGAGGGGCTGGGTGAAAGGGGGAGGGCGGCCGGAGCCGCGACGAGCGGTCTGAGTGAGAGCGGGAGGGACGGATCGCGCGCCTTCCCCAACAGCGCCTTTTCCATTTTTCTCTAGAGGCGAACGGGGCGAGGTGTGCCGTTATTGTCCTCCGAGGGGCGACCCCTGAGGATAAGCGGCACCGGGTGCCCGCCTCTCCACTCTCTTCAGCTGCCCGCCGCGCTCGGGGTTGCGTGACTTTCCCCTCCGGAGAGGCGGCTCGGCTCCCTCAGAGGGCGTGTGGGGTGGGAGGGGGGCGGGGGCTTTT